GAAATTCACGAAAACCACTAAACTACGACGGACCATGGCGGGAATTTTAGGGAACGATATTCTAATGAGGAGGAGAGCTATAACACATTCGTTTGAGTAATTCTTGATTACTAGCAACTTTTTCATTCAGTTTTAAACCTGAATAATTCACTCATTTACCATTTCAGTCTCATTTTAACTAAATGTCACTAAATAAAAATGGAATAAATCAGCTGAAGGTCTCAGCATAGCCGTATGCATAGTAATGCGAAGTTTGAATTCAGAATCATCGAGTCATAGCAAATTTAACGGTATATATAGGGAATTTGAAATAGGTAACTGCGGCAAATGCAGCGCAGCCAAGTTCCAATTAACCATTAAAATAGCTTAGGCGAGGGAGGACAATAAGAATTCTAGGCGCAGTCTGACCGCAGTAGAACCGCAGTTCAGCGCAGCAAAAGCGCAGTAGAACTATAGCATGAAAATTTCATTTTTATTCAGTTTGAGAAAAATACACTGTAAATAAATCCTGTAAATAGAAGGTAGAGCGTGAAAAAGGAAGGCAACCCAAGGAGTATAAAAGGGAGACCCTTTCTGCGACTTTTCGCCCCCCTCAGAGAAGTAAGAAAATAGAGTATTATTTTTCTCAAGCATTTCTGGTTGTCACTCCAGTGCGAAAAAGTGATATACAGTTAAGATTGCCACTGTAGTAAAAGGCAGCAATAAAGGAGAGAAATATTAAGTAGATATTTCAACAGGAGAGCTGGTTAACACTCCAGATTTCAAAGTGTAAACACAAAACAGTTATTTTGCTACTGTTAAAACAAGCAATAAAATAAGACAAAAATAGAACAAACTCAAGGGACACTCCAGACACAATCCAAATTCATTAACTGAATAAAATCTTTGAAACTTCACTAAGTAGAAGATTAAATTCAAGTTTAAATCCAAATTAAACAACGCTACACAGAATTACACCTAGACAAATTAATAAATTTCAATAAAGAAACAGCTCCGCAGGGCTCGGTTTATCTGTAAGTCAATTCCCAGGAACTTTAAAACTAACCCATAAAAATAGAATTAGCCAAAACACTCGGATTGGTACTTTATTTACAATAAATAACACTAGTACACTTCCCCATCCTAACTAAAGAACCAGGGAACAGCTTGGTGGTGGTCTCGTTTGAACCTCCCAACTGACCTTCCTTCGTTCTCTCCTTCACCGCACGCACCTAGAAACGCGTGCTTGCACCCACTCCGCTTTCTTCTCTGTGTTCACGACTTTTGGGCCTTCCACACACATCTTCCACGTTGTTGCAGGGATAAACCCTTGCACTACAAAACACTGCTCTTTCATTCTTTCATGTATATACATTGGCGAGTGTAGTTGGGGTAGTCCTGTGACTGCACAGCCACAACTATACAGCACCGTATTACAAGCCCTTTGGTGAGGTTGAGAGAGGCAGGCAGGAGATTACTGTCCCCCCTGTGAGCCTGTGTGACGTTGGGATAAATTCCCTGTTACAACGTCCCCCACCTGCTTTTTTTGGCAACACACGCGATATTTGCGCCTGCACATGCTGAGAAACTCGTGCCAGCACATCCTAGTCCAGCCCCATGTGATATTCATGCGCTGTAGGAGAAATAACGGTCACACTATGGAAACCCATTATGGAAATATGCCAGATAAATCACAAAACCTCATACGACAAGTAGATATGAGAAAACAGAAGGACACGAATTTTTACGAATTTTTACGAATTATTATGACTATACGCAATAAATCGAAAGAAAGAAAAATAGCAAAAATACTTCAAGCTTACCATCAACGAGACGGAATTCCCGGGGGAATTTATAGCAAATATTAAAACAAGAATTAGGACAATCGACCAAGATTTGACTATAAAAACAATCAGAGAACCTCCACGGAAACTACTTTCCCACGTCCGCACACATAGCCAAGGATGGAAGTACCACGGAACAAGGATTCCTCAGGAACTAATGCAAAATTCAAAGTCGTGTTTATAATAGGAAATGTAGATGTCCCCCAAACGGACCCAATGAGAGTAATTACAGGGGAAACTACCCATAAACGACGGAGATATGACTAAAACTCCTGCAAAACAAGGACAATATCTAAAAGGCAAGCGCGAAAATTAACCAGTAACGACCGAGACAAGCTTGATAGGCCATTAGAAAGGAAGGGATCTAATCTTAATCCTCCCAAATTTTCATAATAAAAGGATCATGTGTTAATGAGATATCCAATAACGGGAATAGCGACATCAAAAGTCCGAGCTCAGGGAAAAGACGATGTTTGCGTAGGATCCATAGTTACAACATACAACGAAATTTACACGGAAATTATGAAAAATAGGGAACTATAGTTATGCAAATTTTCAGCCCAAACGGTCCAGCCGTTGTGAAGTTATACCCATGATGGGAATATAGAAATCCGCATCATGTGTAATGACACGTGAGGGTGGCGATGTGCAGGGAACCGGCCATCGGAACCGAGATCTGCACTTCGGCAGATCGCGAAGACCAATTTACGTCCAAATAAGGAAGAGCCCGGTCAAAACAAAGCACAGAAAGTGCAAAACAACCTTAGATCATGAGGGAAAAATCTGAAATAAATCACAGAAGCCCATATGAAAGAAATAAAAACCTGCGCATATCATAAATCCCGAACAATTAAACGGAAACGGTGCCCGCATACGAACGACTATGGGAATGATGCACGTGATTACCAAATGTGCGCGCGAACTTTTGCTAACTCAACGAATACCAGGAAATAGGACACAACCTTAGTACCATTGGAAAGGTGGGAATAAATGAAAATTTATGATACCAAGAACGTGAGAAAACATCCAGAAATGAATGAGATATAGGGACATGAAGTTAGAAACCTGAAAACGCGCGGGAAAACAGCTTCAAGAGGTCTAGAGTCCTAAATAAAATACATAAAAATATGATATCTTCAAGGACGACCTACTATAACAACGAACAATACATATGGAGGATTAGGATGTGATAATACAAAGGGGAATCAGGGAATATGAACGAAATTCACGAAAACCACTAAACTACGATGGACCATGGCAGGAATTTTAGGGAACGATATTCTAATGAGGTGAAGAGCTATAACACATTCGTTTGAGTAATTCTTGACTACTAGCAACTTTTTCTTTCAGTTTTAAACCTGAATAATTCACTCATTTACCATTTCAGTCTCATTTTAACTAAATGTCACTAAATAAAAATGGAATAAATCAGCTGAAGGTCTCAGCACAGCCGTATGCATAGTAATGCGAAGTTTGAATTCAGAATCATCGAGTCATAGCAAATTTAATGGTATATATAGGGAATGGGAATTTGAAATAGGTAACTGCGGCAAATGCAGCACAGCCAAGTTCTAATTAACCATTAAAATAGCTTAGGCGAGGGAGGACAATAAGGATTCTAGGCGCAGTCTGACCGCAGTAGAACCACAGTTCAGCGCAGCAAAAGCGCAGTAGAACTATAGCATGAAAATTTCATTTTTTATTCAGTTTGAGAAAAATACACTGTAAATAAATCCTGTAAATAGAGGGTAGAGCGTGAAAAAGGAAGGCAACCCAAGGAGTATAAAAGGGAGACCCTTTCTGTGACTTTTCGCCCCCCTCAGAGAAGTAAGAAAATAGAGTATTATTTTTCTCAAGCATTTCTGGTTGTCACTCCAGTGCGAAAAAGTGATATACAGTTAAGATTGCCACTGTAGTAAAAGGCAGCAATTAAGGAGAGAAATATTAAGTAGATATTTCAACAGGAGAGCTGGTTAACACTCCAGATTTCAAAGTGTAAACACAAAACAGTTATCTTGCTACTGTTAAAACAAGCAATAAAATAAGACAAAAATAAAACAAACCCAAGGGACTCTCCAGACACAATCCAAATTCATTAACTGAATAGAATCTTTGAAACTTCACCAAGTAGAAGATTAAATTCAAGTTTAAATCCAAATTAAACAACGCTACACAGAATTACACCTAGACAAATTAATAAATTTCAATAAAGAAACAGCTCCACAGGGCTCGGTTTATCTGTAAGTCAATTCCCAGGAACTTTAAAACTAACCCATAAAAATAGAATTAGCCAAAACACTCGGATTGGTACTATATTTACAATAAATAACACTAGTACACTTCCCCATCCTAACTAAAGAACCAGGGAACAGCTTGGTGGTGGTCTCGTTTGAACCTCCCAACTGACCTTCCTTCATTCTCTCCTTCAGCGCTGATGGCACTCTACCTGTGTATTTGCCCTCCGACACTCTCTCTTGCACACAGCTGTGGAAACTCGCCATGTACTGGCTTGATGGTAGGGATATGATTCTGCCTCTGGGCGGTGAGGAATACTGGGAGACACCTGAATGCGATGAGGTGATAGAGAAGGCTCACAATGCGATAGGAGTCCTTGCTGACAATCTCAAGGCTGCTGTTGTTTTGGGTGATCGCACGCGGTGGTGGATTTCTGCATGTGAATATATCGACGCTGTCATTGGGATCGTGCATTGCGAGGCTTTGTGGAGTTATAGGGACGAGGGTGTTGGGTATAACACATGTAAGGATGTGTTTGAGTGGCTGGACGCCATTTACGCTGAGTGGACTTCTATTCCTATGGTCCGCTTGTATGAGCTCACATGCGAGCGCTATCTGAAGTCCCTTCCAATGGATCTCATTGTCCCTCTAGCCTTTGCCACATTTCGCCCATCCCTTTCCCCTCTTCCCCTTGATCTTGTGGCTGACTCTGCACAAGCTGACGACGAACAAGCTGACGACGAGCCAGAATCAGATAAGAAAAACAAAGGTGGGAAAAGTACTTAGTGGGCTCTTGCCACCACAGGTGGCATCCACCAATCATACGCCAGTGTAAAGTGGGCATGAGACAACATGACACCAGTTGGTTTGATGGGGTATAGGAAGTACAAAGTGCATTCATTTAATCGGATAAAGCTGGGGGAATGAAGAGCATTGGCAAAGCTAACTGGTGGCAGGTAATGGTGAATGTAGCGTGCTCATGGCAGACAAAAAGAAAAGGGAAAAGAACACCTGTGTGCAGAAAGATATTACCAGTTTGATGGAAAGATCAATGATGTTGGCAGAAAACATTCCTGTTCCGCTAACTTCACATGCAAAAGCCTTATCATAAGCAAGGTCAGGGCTGCACAGCAGCCATTTCTAGTACATAGACAAGACGAGATTCTTTCAAATGTTGTGAAAACGTACCCAAACATATGGACCACTAGCTCCGTAGATCTTTCCCGCCAAACTCCACGTAACGGCAGCTGAGTTCAAACTTTGGACAGTCGCCCCACTCCAGACATTTGTGCCAATCGGATCAAGAAGTGTGTCTTTTTGAGAGTCGATGATAGAGGTCATGACGGCATAATTGATGAATGCACCTAGGAGGGTACCCCAGATTTGTGCCATGAAAAGAGCGCGCGGAGGAATCTTGAGGTACTGGCCCATTTTCAAATCGCCTGCAAGGCCGATCGAAGCACCAACAACGTCCTAGGAGAACGAAGTTCACAACGACCGGGATGAATGAATAAATCTGCTTACGTGGCTCCACATGGAGAAGTACAAGTTGGACACGGGTTTTCCAGGATGTAAAGCACCAGCAACCATTTTCATCTGGGAACATTGCAGGTACTGTTGAGTTGCACTTCCCCTGCACATAGCACTTCTCGCCTACCAATTGATTCGTGGCGATACCGTTTCCAAGTCGAGCGTACAACAAGTTTGAGAACGGTGTAACAAATGACCCGAGGAGCGCCTGCGTCGTTAACAGTCATATAAAGAGCCAAACTATATAATATGGATAGATGCTTACAATAATGTAGCCATACCAAGGGAGAGTTGTATTCCCCTTGATGATCACAATAAGACCTGCGATCGAATTTAGCACTGGGACTGGGAACATGGAAAACCGAGATAAAATCACCGGCAAAGAAAGCGAGTGCAAGCAATATAATGTACCACCACCACTCCACTTCTTCGTACTTCTGCATTGCCTAGTGATCAAGTGCGTATGGTCAGGGATCAAGGGGTCATCTCGTAATCAGAACTCACGATCCAGTGCCTGTCTGGCTGCTTGCCCGTCTTGGAAAGTTTAAACGAGTCCCACACGTATCCACGCCAGAAAAGCATGCAATGCGCGATCAGACCCCCGATCTGCGTTAAGTGCGGACCCGTTGTATTGCTCCAATTTCTCTAAGGCAAAAAAGAGGGACGTACAGACCAACAAGAAGTCATGTACGTCCAAACGGTTGTGCCTGTAAGCTGAGGTAATCCCTCGATGGCCAGTGCAGTTTCGTTAAGCTGAAACTTCGTTCCGAAAACGAAAGTTTGGTTGTAACGGTCCCCCTGAAGGTTGAAAATAGAGGTTGACAACATAGGGTAGTTCTTTGCCTGTAATAAAAAAAAAACATTATAAAAGGTAGAGGACTCAATTAGTCGGCGCGGCAACGAACACACAGATTGGAAAATGACTTGCGTTCCACACGTTTCCGAAATAGATTCCTGCCATGGCGGCGTAACAAATTGCATAACCAACCCACGAATTTGCTTGCTGAAGCAGTGGAAGTCTAATGACAAGAGCACTGGACTCAATTCATTGTTCGGGAAAGGCTAAGCTGAACTTACGACATGAACTCGCTTCCAATATACTGCCAATCAAGGCTCAGAGAGCCCAGTCCAAGACCCTCGTTAGCGTTCCCACCTCCAAAGATATGCATGAAGACAGTTCGGATATTGGTCGGTGCTGTCACCGAGGCGATGCAGAAGAGTGATACACCGTTAAGCGTCGGGAATCTGCGATTGGAAGAGCACTAAGCGACATTCCGGGGCTAAAAAAGCCGAGGTCTCGACCATGGCATTTCTGGCGTACATGTACGCAGGGAAGACTTCCCAAAGGGCTATTCCCGTAAACGCAGTCCAGAAAAGCTTAAGGCGCTTCCTCGCCGATTTCTTGTCCCAGTGGAGAGCTACAGTCATAGTAATGTAGTGTTAGCAAGTAATCTGAGTATTGGTGATGAACATACATTGGAATACTGTAACGATGGGGAGTTGACCCCAGTATACCATCTCGGCAGGGTCTTGATGGTAATAGGCACAAGATTATAACAATCATCAGAAAGATTAATATATACTTACATACCTAGATGACCAAAGTCAATCCTGCCTCAACAGAAGTAAGTGGGTATCACTTACTGTTAGAGGTCTTAATAAACCAACAAGTCCGTATCCAAACATGCCAGTACTGAAAGTAGCAAGTACGGCTGTCGTTGCGTTCACGTTAGCACTGTAGAAGAGCTGAGGCAAGGGGCAAACAAATCTGGTCAGCCCGACATGGCAGCCAGATTGGTGACCACCTGACAAACTTTCTGGACAGCGAAGTTTTGCACTGCGGTCGAGGTTCCGGAAGCACTTGAGGAGATTACCGTAGCGATGACATGCTATGGTGATGAGTATCGAGTTGGCTAGCACCATATTGAGAGATGGGCAAAGCAGGGTGCTACTTACCTCCTTAAGGCCAAACGGGCCAGGGTTTACAAATGTGAAAACTCTCGCCGCACGGCTCCAGCCTCGCTTCTCGAAGAAATGAGCCTGGGGAAAGAGATTCGCCCATACATTGCCGGAACTGGGAAGCTCGAGAAGATTAAATACTTGCGCAAATTAACCTGAAGGGAATGGGACAAACGTGTAGATGATGAGCATCAAGAAGATTCCGGAGACGGTAACATCTGTTGGTTTAAAGATGTAAATCTAGCGGAACAAATAGGTGGGAAGAATTGTTTCGACAAGTTACAAGGGCGACCTGACTAACCTGAGCCAACGCCGCACCTAATCCCGCGATGATGGTCCCAAGCACAAACGATCTGAAGGTTACCGCTGGGTCTCCATCGTCACGGTCATCGATGACAAAGTTGGATACATCCTCTCCGCTTTCAATAACGGGCTCTCTATTAATAGATGGGCTTCCAAGTGGCACCTCTTTATTGACACTGCCCTCTGCGCCCTCAATTACCCCGTACTTTGTGCCATTATTGACTTCACGCTCAACAGTAGTGGCGGCAGACTTAGGCTCAAAGAGAGGAGGGAGAGTATGGGCGACGTGATTGTCCTGGAATATGTGATGAGCAAGAGACGTAAAGCCTTTTTTTTCTCCTGCACCGAGATTTCCTGAGGGGTCCATCGACCCTTGGTGTTCCAATTCAGGACGGGGAGACTGCTAAACCTAAGATGGGAGTGTTGAGTTATCGGGTGCTGATACAGGGAGAAAATCCGTCAAGCTGGTGCCACGGTTCGGCTCGATTCGGTTCTAGGGCCAGAACCGGAACCTGTTCCACACTTTAGCGATATTGTTGAACCAGAACCGAACCAGTATCTGAACCGCATTCCGGTTCCATCCTGGTTCGGTTCGGTTCGGAACGGTTTGAACAGGCCTGTACCACTAACCGAGTAATTATATATGCTATCTATAGTGCTTGGAAATATGTGATACGGTGTAGAATGAATTACACCGAGCAGGTTGTATTAAAATGAAAGCTTCTAGGCGGGAGAAAACAGAGTCAAAGCTGCCATCTGATGGGATTAGAGATTCCCCGAGATGTGTCCACTACATACATGTGGGAGGACAGTGATGCCAGAAGCTGAAGATTCAGTCCAGCGCGAAGGGACAATCTCCTAGATTGCGATTTCGTATCGAAGGGATAAGGATCAAGACGTGTGGTATATTATCACCCTAGGGCTGAGAGGGCCGAGAGAATTCAGGATGCAGGGAATATGATGCAGCAATTCCCCCAAGAGCTGGCGCAACAACCGGCGCTTAGTTCATAAGGCCTTTCAGGGGAGAGACAGTATACCATGCGGCTTCGCGCGCGTGGGTGCGGTAGTTAGCCTGATGCCGCAGAATGCCCAGCCATGATGATTTGCTTGCGCATTAGGTCAAGGGTTGTGTGTTAGGTCCGGGCCAGACTCGTACCTAACCATCACCGCTCCGTGGATGCGCGCTGCACAATGTTAGAAAACAACTACAGCGGCCGTCATAAACAACGAGAATCCGGAATTTGATGCGTGATAATGAGAAATCACGTGATCGTCCAAATATGGTAGGAAATCAGGAGTCAATACAATTTTGGTTCATGACTGATTTGAGTTGATCTCAAAGCTAATTCGGTTCATCTCGGAACCGAACCACGCAGTGACGGTGCATCCACAACAATTCCAACTGGGTATGAATCTGACCGCAAGTGATCCAACACGCGAACATCCGAACGCACATAAACAAACAACAACAAATCCAGGTAATATGTATATGTAGCCATATTTTCAAGGCCAAATAGAAACAGAACGCGAAAAGTGCAGAGATCTGGAACAAGGCCAACGAACAGAACAGCCACCGCGTGAAATTCCAGTCGTGAATATTGCAGCCTTGTAAGTCCAACGGAATTTTGCAGCGAACAATTTAGTACAGCGAATAATCTTCCTCTAAACGCAGTGTGTGTAGCTCAGATCGAGGGACCTAGTTGGCGTGATCCGAAACTGATTGACATTCAGATGATCTCAACCGGTAGGATCAGGCTCGGAGGTTTCCTGATGTTGGCCACTGTCAGACTTGACTGGGTGTTGTCCTTCAGAACCCCCTCCCTCGGCCCAGCACTGCTCCAGAGTGTGTTGCACTTTGGGTTAGTGCATCGGGGCAGTTCTTGGCCTTTTTCGATTTTTTGTTCTTCTCGTTCGGAGTCTTATCTGAAAGTTTCTCTGACTTTGCAACCAGTGCAGTAGCTGATTTTTGACTGCCCTCCCCCTTTTCTTCCCTGAGTCGTAACATTCTCATACTTCACAAGCCAAGACCCTCACAACCTGCTTTGCATCCCGCCCAAGGCTCAGCCGCGAGAAATCCAGCCCGTATATTATCGATGTCGGTACATCAAATCGGTTTTTGATGAGTGAATGTTCTGCGGGTTCGAGCCAGGCTGTACCGGAGTTTGTCGGGAAAGATTCGCGTGCAGTGACGGCTTAAGAATCTTCTCGACAAAAGGAAGTGGATATAAGCCAGGCTTGATTTTGGGAGGAGCCCAATCGGTCATGATACCATTACTGGTCAAGTAATTCGCCTCGACCCCCATTCTGTTAGGTGTGCAACAGTGTGCAGTTAGTAGGAGGCAACTTCAGAGGAATCGGTATTGCGTGAGGCCTTAGTGAAGCCGGGGGTTCGCAGATCAAGATACATCAATTGAGATGGGAACGAAGTATCTAAGAGGCAACGTGGAAGTAGATACCAACTGAAATCAAAGTTCAAGGCAGTGATCAACGTTTCCTGGGGGATTTCCCCACCAGTTTGGGAATGGATGGGGTGTTCTACTTGCTCCGTAAACGGCGAAGCTCAGGATAAAAATGACTGTCTGAGCTCCACCATCGAGAGCACCTGACGGGGACAGACGGGATTCAATCTGCATCATGGTTTTGCTAGAGTTATCTGGTGGTACTTACCGCCGAGAACGTAATTGTACTTTCGGTACCAGCCCTGTGTACGGATCAGGACGCATCTAAATATCATCTCCTAAAAGTACTCACCGGGTGATATCGACGAAGCCAGACTTGAGAGACAATCCCGGTAATCACTGAGCTAAGTACAATAGAGTTGACGCCTGTACTCAGGAAGCCTGCAAACTATAAAACATAGGGAGTGAATATCCCACCCCATCATCACAAACGCTTTAATGACGAGGACTCACCATATATATAACAGGCAAGATGATGCGATCCACATGAATTCCTTGAATCACAGGCCAGCGCTAACACCCAGGCACATGAGCAGTCAGGACCAAACAATAAGGTAGTTACAAACCTTGAAGATCAAGTATTGGATTCCTGTAGGAATCATTCCAAACAGCAAACCAACAGGCACCTGCAGAATAGCACGTCAACCCAAAGTGCATAGACAAGACGTGATTCTCTCAAATGTTGTGAAAACGTACCCAAACATATGGACCACTAGCTCCGTAGATTTTTCCCGCCAAACTCCACGTAACGGCAGCTGAGTTCAAACTTTGGACAGTCGCCCCACTCCAGACATTTGTGCCAATCGGATCAAGAAGTGTGTCTTTTTGAGAGACGATGATAGAGGTCATGACTGCATAATTGATGAATGCACCTAGGAGGGTACCCCAGATTTGTGCCATGAAAAGAGCGCGCGGAGGGATCTTGAGGTACTGGCCCATTTTCAAATCGCCTGCAAGGCCGATCGAAGCACCAACAACGTCCTGGGAGAACAAGGTTCACAACGACCGGGATGAATGAATAAATCTGCTCCTTACGTGGCTCCACATGGAGAAGTACAAGTTGGACACGGGTTTTCCAGGATGCAAAGCACCAGCAACCATTTTCATCTGGGAACATGCAGGTATTGTTGAGCCGCACTTCCCCTGCACCTAGCACTTCTCGCCTACCAATTGATTCGTGGCGATACCGTTCCCAAGTCGAGCGTACAACAAGTTTGAGAACGGTGCAACAAATGACCCGAGGAGGAGCGCCTGCGTCGTTGATAGTCATATAAGGGCCAACCTATATGATATGGATAAGATGCCTACAACGATGTAGCCATACCAAGGGAGAGTTGTATTCCCCTTGATGATCACAATAAGACCTGCGATCGAATTTAGCACTGGGACTTGGAACGTGGAAAACCGAGATAAAATCACCGGCAAAGAAAGCGAGTGCAAGCAATATAATGTACCACCACCACTCCACTTCTTCGTACTTCTGCATTGCCTAGTGATCAAGTGCATATGGTCAGGAATCAAGGGGTCATCTCGTAATCAGAACTCACGATCCAGTGCCTGTCTGGCTGCTTGCCCGTCTTGGCAAGTTTAAACGAGTCCCACACGTATCCACGCCAGAAAAGCACACAATGCGCGATCAGACCCCCGATCTGCGTTAAGTGCGGAGCCGTTTTATCGCTCCAACTTCCCTAAGGCAAAGAAGAGGGACGCACAGACCAACAAGCAGTCATATATGTCCAAACGGTTGTGCCTGTAAGCTGGGGTAATCCCTCGATGGCCAGTGCAGTTTCGTTAAGCTGAAACTTCGTTCCGAAAACGAAAGTTTGGTTGTAACGGTCCCCCTGAAGGTTGAAAATAGAGGTTGACAACATAGGGTAGTTCTTTGCCTGTAATAAAAAAAAACATTTTCAAAGGTAGAGGACTCGATTAGTCGGCGCGGCAACGAACACACAGATTGGAAAATGACTTGCGTTCCACACGTTTCCGAAATAGATTCCTGCCATGGCGACGTAACAAATTGCATAACCAACCCACGAATTTGCTTGCTGAAGCAGTGGAAGTCTAATGACAAGAGCACAGGAGTCAATTCATCGTTCGGGAGGGGCTAAGCTGAACTTACGACATGAACAAACTTCCAATGTACTGCCAATCAAGGCTCAAAGAGCCCAGACCAAGGCCTTCATTAGCGTCCCCACCTCCAAAGATATGCGTGAAGACGGTTCGGATATTGGTCGGTGCTCTCGCCGAGGCGATGCAGAAGAGTGATACACCGTTAAGCGTCGGGAATCTGCGATTGGAAGAGCACTAAGCGACATTCCGGGGCTAAAAAAAGCCAAGGTCTCGACCATGGCATTTCTGGCGTACATGTACGCAGGGAAGACTTCCCAAAGGGCTATTCCCGTAAATGCAGTCCAGAAAAGCTTAAGGCGCTTCCTCGCCGACTTCTTGTCCCAGTGGAGAGCTAGGGTCATGGTAATGTAGTGTTAGCAAGTAATCTGAGCATTGATGATGAACATACATTGGAATACTGTAACGGTGGGGAGTTGACCCCAGTACACCATCTCGGCAGGGTCTTGATGGTAATAGGCACAAGATCATGACGATCATCAGAAAGATTAATATATACTTACATACCTGGATAACCAAAGTCAATCCTACCTCATCAGAAGTAAGTGGGCATCACTTACTGTTAGAGGTCTTAACAAACCAACAAGTCCGTATCCAAACATGCCAGTACTGAACGTGGCAAGTACGGCTGTCGTTGCGTTCACGTTAGCATTGTAGAAGAGCTGAGACAAGGAGCAGCAAATCTGGTCAGCCCAACATGGCAACCAGATTGGTAACCACTTGACAAACTTTCTGAACAGCGAAGTTTTGCACTGCGGTCGAGGTTCCGGAAGCACTCGAGGAGATTATCATAGCGGTGACATGCTAGAGTATCGGGTTAGCCGGGACCATATTGAGAAATGGTCAAAGCCGGGAGGTGCTTACCTCCTTAAGGCCAAAAGGGCCAGGGTTTATAAATGTGAAAACTCTCGCCGCACGGCTCCAGCCTCGCTTTTCGAAGAGATGAGCCTGAGGAACGAGATTCGCCCATAGATTGCCGAAACTGGGGAAGATTAAATGGTTACGCAGACTAGCCGGAAGGGAAATGGGACAAACGTATAGATGATGAGCATCAGGAAGATTCCGGAGACCATAATATCTGTTGGCTTAAAGACGTAGATCTAGCGAAACGAATAGGTGGGAAGAATTGTTTCGATGAAGCCATCAGGGCGACTTGACTAACCTGAGCCAACGCCGCACCTAATCCGGCAATGACGGTCCCAAGCACGAACGATCTGAAGGTTACCGCTGGGTCTCCATCGTCACGGTCATCGATGACAAAGTTGGATACATCCTCTCCGCTTTCAATAACGGGTTCTCCATTAACATATCGTTTTCCAAGTGGCACCTCTTTATTGACACTACCCTCTGCGCCCTCGATTGCCTCGTACTTTGGGTCATTGATCACAGGCTCAACTGTAGCGGCGGCAGACTTATGCTCAAAGAGAGGAGGGACGGTATGGGCGTCATGATTGTCCTGGGATACGTGATGAGCAAGGGACGCACAGCCTTTTGTTTCTCTTGCACCGAGATTCCCTGAGGGGTCCATCGGCCCTTGGTATTTCAATTCAGGATGGGGGGACTGCTAAACCTGAGATGGGAGTGTTGAGTGCTGATACAGGGAGAAAATCCGTCAAGCTGCTAAATGCGGGTAGATATAACCCCTCATGAGATCCTTTGGGTAACCCTTGGTGCGGCCATAACACGGTGTAGAGTTCACTACACCGGGCAGGTTGTATTAAGACGAAGGGGCTTCTACGCGGAAGAAAACAGAGTCAAGGCCGCCATCTGATGGGATACCAGGTTCCCCGAGATGTATCCACTACCTGTCGGACAGTGACGCCAGAAGCTGAAGATTCAGTCCAGCGCGAAGGGACAATCTAGATCGCGATTTCGCACAGAAGGGAGTAGAATAAAGATCAGGACGCGTGGTATATTATCGCCCTAGGGTTGAAAGGGGACCAAGCCCGCTCCCCGGGAGGATTCAGGATGTAGGGAATATGATGTAGCAATTCCTGTTGTCACCATGCGGGCTGGCGCTCAGAAGTTCATATAGGGGGGAGAGAGAGTATACCATGCGGCTTCGCGCGCGTTGGGTGCGGCAATAGCCTGATGCTGCAGAATGCCCAACCATGATAATTTATTCGGCATTGAATCCATGGGCACCGAAAGAGCGGAGTTTGCCGAGTTACTGTGGCGCCGTCCCACACCCAGCGATACATATGACCTACTTTGGAAATACCCATCCTAAACTCATCCTCGGCGGACAGGCTCCACGCTCAAGTCCTTTCGCTCTCTTCAACTTTCGATTTGGACTAGTCCTCGTAACTAGAGGAAGCCCAAGCTTTGTGTCAGACCCCAACAATGTTTTTCTCCAACGAGCTCCTTTCACAACGCGACAGTGGTTTCGGTTTGCTCTGGTGCGATTACATTTGATGCCCCGATCTTGTTTAAGATAGTCTTGACACCTTGTTGCGCGATTTAAAGGCTAGCAGCCACCCTAGGATCTCGCTCGACGTTCAAGAAGCTTCCTCGCCGCTCAATCTTGAACGCTGACATCTCCTCGTTGTGCAGTCTTATCGAAGAGCCGGATGAGCCTCTTGCCCTACGACTATCGAGTAACCTCATGGTTGGGGTCACGCGGTGTGTGAATAAAACAAATTTGTCCAACCACCCGGCCGCTGGAGAGTGCGCTGTTGCTGATTCTTTTTGATTAGCGTCTACGTTGCGAAATGCGAGATTTTTGCGGCTGACGTGTCCCAAGTTCACGCAAATCTCAAAAAGGCCGTATTCGAGATGAAGTCCCATGAAATCGGATGGAAAGATTTGGTCATGACAACCAGCAGCGTTCGTCCCGGACTTGTTACTCTATCAGCGAACGATTCAATGTCGGGGGAATTCGACTTGCAATTCGATTTATTTGAGCCTGTGAGTTTCACGGGGACCTGTCTTCTGGTAACTCTTCGATCGAGTCCATTCATTTGCAATGCATAGTTTTGGGGAGACATCACGACTTCCGATCTGTCCTTCGGATCCTCCATCACCCTCGCATCACCGCGCTCAGATCTCACACTCACAGAACCTGCGTCTTCCTCTCAAGGTAACCCCCTCACCTTACCAGAGCCCCAAACTCCCGATATGATCCGCCGAGGCGAAACGCCTGCTAGCGCTCAATATCACCATTTCTCATCCCAACAACAACGTAATCGCGATGATCACATTCTCAATGAAGATCACCTGCTCGTATACAATCCTACATCAGATGTGTCCTTCGGTGGTTTTGCTGAGATGGGAGTGGATGATGGATTTCAGTTCGGTGGCGGGGATAACATGGTGGGACTTGACTTTGGTGGATTGGATTTCGGGTTGGGTCCTGAGGCTTTCGGCGACGGCGAGTCGGCCGTTGGAGCCTTTGGTGTTGAACCTATGGGGGCTGCTGGAAACCCTTTTGAGAATTTTGAGATGGATTTGGGCGATATTGGGTGCGCAATTCTCCCAACCTCGTACCAAGACCCAAAATTCATTGCTCCTTGTTGCACTGGCATCTTAGTTTTGACATGCAAAACCCACAAGACGGAGGTGCTCAAGCTAGTACGGCTGCTCAGGTAGCTGCTTCAACTGGAGGTAGCCCTGCGAGGAAGCGCGTGCGTGTCGCTTCTGATCTGCCTTTAACCAACTCCTTATTTGCGCCTTCTATGTTATGAACTAGATGCGTGAAGAGTTGGCGGAACCCGGATCTCCAAAGGTAGATGCCGAGGCCGCGACAAAGAAGCTGCGCAAGACGAAACCGCTCACTTCTAAGCCCATTGTTGATGGCCGTATCGAGCTGACGGATGCCGAGTTGAAAGCTTCTCGAGATCATTATGATCAAGAACAAGAAAGAATTGCGAGGGAGATTGAGTGGAAAAAGAGGGACAAGAGGGAATATCTATTCGCGACTCAGGTATAGCCCAACCCTAAAGTTCTTTTTGGCTGGGCTGATCCATCCCCTTCTAGGCGATCTGGGAAGCTCCCAATATTTGTGCGTTTCTATCATTCGCCTCCTACTTACCAGCCATTGCTTTTACGCGATACCCTTCATGGGACCTCAGTCCACGCTATGTTGTTTGGGATCAGTGACCGGGATTCTCGGTTGCGATTCTTGTCGCATTTTATCCGTGATTAACAACCTGGGAAGACAAATGGTTCCCGACTGTTAACTTTCCTCTTCTCGTAGGTTTAGACTGTCCCACGGTGGCGTTCAGCTATGACTTGCGTCTCGGTTGGATGTGTCGTCGATTGCACAGCGCTGATGCGTTTCGCCTGACGTCAAAAAGCACGTTTTGATGGCCATTAGCTCCTCGGTGGCAATTTGACGACACCTCCTTTGTTCGGTGCTCTCACTCGGTCGCATTCCATGTCTGAACGTTACGTGGGACGAGCTTTCGCGCTTCATTACATACGTTTTTTTATTCCTATCTCCGCAACGAGTGGTGGGATGCCTTGCCCGGCTGTGCCTGAGATGAAGCTAGATATGTGCTCAACCTTCGTCAGGGTGATCGGCCGGACCCATGACTGACCGGATTTCTTCTTGGGGTTGAGACACATCAAGACCGTCCTGCCTGCCTAGCTCGACGCTTATCCCATCTACCTGGGCATTGCTTGCGTATTCTCAAGTTTGCGGGACTCGCACATGCAATGGCCAGAACAATTTGCTATCGAATGAACGGTCACACCCTATCCCAACTACTGAAGCATCTCTGCAATGCATTTACTGTGATTCAAGACTATGGAAAACATCCTAGTGCGCGCTAATCCCAAACTTCATAACTGCGAGTGTTTGTACCTCTATTGGTTTGGCCATTTTCGTTCATTGTGTTCGCTCCAACGGCCATGGAACTAACCAACCAAACTACTTATTGGGTTGAAACCCACCATCAGTTTGTGCACCAGAATTAGTGGAATTGTGGGAGAAAATTTATAGGAATCAAGTTATCGCGCACAAGCATTCCGAGGCCGTCTTCCGCTCACCAGGTATAGTACAGCGGAACACCGCTACGAGACTTTGGAGTTGAAGCCCATACTTTAGAACCACCTGGCAAGCGTCGAAGAGGGGATGGTGACGCTGTGAAGAAGGGGTTTAACGTTCGTGAAGAACAACTTGGTAACGATGTATTCGGTGACGAGGGGGTATTCGACCCGATAGCCATAGGAGGGGGTAATGGGTTCACATCTACGGTTTCTTGCTGACTGATGCCCTTCAATAGATATCGACATGGGTGACGCGGCTGCGGGTGGTAGACAGACAGGTGTTTTCGACGACATAACATTTAATCCCGGAAGCCAAGTGCATTCTCGTCAAGTATCACTCGACGTGAGCTTAGTGACTTCTCGCACCACCATTCTATTACCTCCTTCCCTTTCTAACTTCGAAAACGAATAGACGCCCGAAATTGGGCGACGTGCTCTTTCTCGCTCACATTCTGCCCTTGGTCTCGCCTCTCAACGTAGCTCGTTCCTCCCTTGGGAACAAGGCGGATTCCAGTCTTCCGATTTTGATGCGGGTTTCCCTGCTGCGTTAAGTGGTGCTGGTGGATCGATGCAAGATCTCGCTTTTGGTGGGACTCCAGATATGCTTCGGTGAGAATGACTCTTCCTACCAGCAAACATGTGGGGACAAATTAACTGAATTTGATTGCCGGCGTTTGAAGGATTGACGGTAGAGGGAGGGGAAGTCAAGATCTGGGTCGCGAGGGTTCTCTTGGTGCTCCGCCTTCTCGATATGCTTCGGACTCTCCTGCGTTCAAGTTCGGTGTTAGTGGGGGAGAGGACATTGTGAACGTGAGTCCCAATCTTGGAATTGGTCGGTATCATCATGCCTCCTCGCCTGTGGTGCTTCAGACTCACGGCATGGTCATTCCACGAGATTCCCAACTTATTGACTCTCAGCAAGAATCTCAGCAATCTCACCTGTCCGACGCATCTCGTCTCGTCGCACTTGAGCGTAATGCGCTCAATTTCTTTGAGTGGGTCACAATGTTTATTGTTGCGTTTACGATGCCAACTGTGTCTGTAATCATCTCTTAGGTATACTAAGCAACTACTGGCTTCCAAACAATCATCATCCATTCGACTTCAAGATATCGCTCCTGTTGAAACGAGTACTCCTCGTGTTGCTGCTGCTGCTTTCTATCACTGTCTTGGTATGTACAGGCACCGTGTCTTACTGTGGCAGACCCGAAAATTCATCTCTCTCAGGGCTCGCCACCAAATCTTTGATTCGCTTAAAGCAAGAGACACCTTATGCTGATGTTTTCATATTCCCTGCTTGAGCATTGCTCCAATGAATGTTGCATGACTTGTGTATCTTGTCGAGCCTGATCGGCTCCTTATTTGTGACCCTTATTTTTGCGTATGTATCAATTTCTTGTAGCCACACTGCTTTCATGATTTTTCCTGATTGGTACGTGCTTTTGACGACCTCAATCTCAGGTCAAGCGTACGCACAATATAATTCAAATTTGTAGAAATTCATTTTGTGCCAACAATGATGATGCTTGCGGCGATTATCCAATGACCAGTCTTAAGGACGTAATTACGAGGCGCGGAGCACGCTAGAGGCTGCCTAAAATCATGCAACCTTGATCACAATATAGAATGAAGAGCTAGAGCGAGGATGTGAGTATACTAGGCAACTCAGACGCCAGGTGTCAACGCTATTAATGGAGTAGTTAAGCCAGCCCAGCACCCACATGCAGGGGCAAATTGACAGATTGACGTTCCTGAGCCTTGGAAAAACCCAAGCTCGCGGCACGTCACCGCCTCATGGAAACGACCTATCGAACTTCCTGGGGAACCACAATGTAGATTACTGCCGCATTTCGAAGCATGGGGCTGTTCAGTCAGAACCTCGAAGCGCAAGGAGCTCGAGAACGTGTCCGTGAGTTTAATTCACGAAGCTGACGGTTTGAAAACACAAATGCACGGCCGAGTTTAACTGGAATCCCGTCCGAGTCCAACTCCTTCAGGATGGGCTACGGAAATTCATTGGAATCGCGTAGAGTTCAGGAATTGAAACAAAGATTAATTGCACGGCAAGTCACACATGTCGTGGGTAAACCCAACGCAGTGCAAAAAATACCTTCATTGTATCAACACGGAGAGAATCTGGAGAACCAAAAATTTCAATGGGTGCAGTTGTGGCATGTGAAATGGAAGCAGGGAAATCTGCCAAACGCCGAGCTTTACGTTTCAACCTAGAAGTCGTTCCCACAAAACCCGTGCCACAATGATCGGGTTAAACAAATCCACACCCGGCCTGACTCCATGTACCACACCATCCAGGGTATTTGCAACCATTGTGTTCTTTTGGCTAGCTTGGTTTAAATACTTCCAATACGCCCTGAATCTGGCACCGTATTCAAGAGTGTCCCCCTCTTGCGGGGTCGAGCTTAGGAAGCCAAAATCGAGCGAACGATTGAGGTCGTAGATAGGGATGCAGATTTGATTGGCCAATTCGAAATAGGAACGCGAAATCGGCAGCGAGGCGACATTAGCATCGGGGGTGGAGTCGGTGATATGCCTGTGCAATGCCGTATTGAGCACGGTGACACTCCCCAATGCCTTCATCATCCCTTGGGCAAAGAGGGGATTCACGACTAATTGATTCCTCAATCGTCAGTTCACATCCGTGTGGGGGCGCTAAGGAGGGAGAATATCGTACACATAACAGAATCTCCTACTGCGACGAAATTGTTGGGTGTGGGTGCTGATAAGTAGTCGATATACCACGAGGTAGACTTTTTTGGACTCTTAGAACCGTTGCGACACATTGAGCCAGATGGAACAAGAGACGCACCAATTTGGCAGGAAGTATCTGGATCTCATCATCAACCTGACTCTCGCGGAAAAGATCGAATAACTCGTAAACCCAAAGCGAAATGTCTTGCAGCGCTGGGTTAAGCTTGAACAACTCTTCGTGCGTGTCACGAAAAATTTGATCGAGTTGAGCTAAATTGCTGGGTGGTGTCACATCGCCGACGCCGATGTAATTCATAAGCACTGTGGTGTAGGGTAAGTATCGTCCCCGGGAAACGAAACGCAGATGACACACCTTCGTTATCAAAAACCTTCTCGATAATGATGCCTTCTCTTGGTCCTTTCCCGCATCCGCCCACATCGAACATGGGGAGTTGGAAATACAACAGTGTCAATTCGTCCCAATTTCCCCAGTTGGGGTCGTTCCGTGGTACTAACTTGGCAATACGGCTCTTCAACTTCTCACCCTTTACAGGAACGTAAAAGCATCTATACACCGCGTTTGGTGAATACGAATGCCGAGTGTATGGTCCCCAATGAGGCACAATGGCGGTTGTTGTGGAGTTAGGCTTTGAATGATCAGCCGCTGCCTGAGGGAGCAATTTCGACGCTATCGCGTTCGCTCCACTGCAATCCGCGAAAAATACACAGGGCAATGTGACGGTCTCAGCTGATTCCATCGAAGGTCTGTAGGACACAGCCGAGATTGAAGCTGATTGTGGTGCAGGAGGGGTATGTAGATTGGTGACAGTCCCCTGGATAACTTCCAAGGAATCCCCTACGTAGGAGGCAGCCAGCTCACGGAAGACCTCCTCCAGTCTAGCGCCAACGGAGATTGCTTAGTCATAGATGTGCTAGGTACCTCTCGCATAGTCACTCACTGGACTCTATGGTACTCGAGTCCAGGGTGTGTTGCTGTAGACCTCCAATTCCAGAGACTGCCGAATATCAAACGTCGAAAGGAGGGGCGTATCTTGTAACCCATCCTACGAACAGCCTCATCGAAACCCTGGTAAAGTGCTCGGCATATGATGATTGTCATTGGCAGTGGGAAATGGATGTGGCCACGCTGGGCAACACGCGTTGCAGTTCTCTCGATACGGTGATCCGGCTCGATGATCACGACTTGTGTGAAGTAATCGGATAGGATACGGGCAGTAGCGTATCCCGAAATGCTGGGGAAGAGGGTGGGGGGCAAGGATAAAGAATAACTAGGGAATTCAAAAATGGGGCTCACCTTCCCCCGGCGATCACAGCTGTCCCTTCCACTTTCTTCCCATTGCGTTTGGTGCGGAGCAGTTCGAAATGGGAAAAGACCATCGTCGTCTTTTTGACATGGTGACGAAGCGCTGTCCATGCAATGGAAGAGACGATACAAAGTCCAACAAGGAAAGAGACCTTAGACAGCATTCTTAGTGGCGTTGGAGGGCAAGGCGCACTACAACGACGTCGTATTTATGTCTCAAAAACGCCACGCTGTGGGAAATCAACACGGCTAACGACGTTTATTGTTAATTGTTCCTCCAACGTGGTAACAAATGTCAATCCCTATATCTTGACTGATCTGAGTACCTACAGGCCAAGGGTCGGAATGACATCCAGTTCTCTGCCACGAGACTGAGCCCGTAGGTAAGACCCTTCAGTGAGGGAAATGGGCTTGAACATAATGCTGTGTCGACTCTGAATGGGTCAAATGACGAACCATGCATGATTCTCAGTTTGATTGCTAATTAATTAATATTACTATTAGTGATCATTTCCCAAGACTAACCCCGAGCCACGGTTCTCGGACTGATGGCTCCAGTACAGAGGACTGACCCCCAAGAGATCGTCCAGTGCATGGGTGGGTGTCTCTGGTATGGAGCGCCTACTGGCCAGTAACAGGTCTGACATGCCAATCACGAAAATCGGACAGGCAACTGGAGCAAAGTCCCCTGGTCCAGAGCACTCCGGAGGCTCCAGAGCACCTGGGAGCACCTGGAGCATGTGGGAGCGCCAGTCCGATTTTGGTGATATGATACCAGTCGTCCCACAAGGGGATACAACGTATTATTTTTTCACTGCGAACGGAAACTGTTCGTCCAGTACCGTACGTACATGACCAACAACTGTGACGTTGACTGGCAATAAGCATGTGAGCCAACTTTAAAATTGAAGAAATTCTATTACATACAGGAATTTTGAATTGAAATTTGCATAGCCACTCTTCAGCACCAGACCGATGATCTGGTGTTGCGACGGAACGAGCAGCGGAAAGTAGCATCAGAAACCTCCCAGGGACCTGATTGGCCGAGTAAGGTGATCCTCATTCAAATGAATAACAGGATCTTCATCAATTCTGTCATCTATTTGAATGAGGATCACCTCGTCCAATCCGGTCGGGAGGTTCCCTGACGTGATGCGGCGGCCCGCCCCTAGCGTGACCCCGACAAATGTCGAGCGACCTGGTAAAAATACACTCATGTGGCATTTAGCGGGGGATACTCAAGCGGGGGAAAGATCTCTACATAACATTGTAACCGCGCGGCGGCATAAGTGGCTAAAGTGATAAGACAAGAGAGATGCGAATACATGAGCACTACATGGTAACGTAGTAGCGTAGCGTAACAGGGAAACATGTATGTTGCATATGGACAAAGGGTATAATATCAATAACTGATATGAGCATGATATGCGTACCTGCGCGTCATCATTCCACGTCACTCTTCCACGTAGACAGTTGACGTTCGATGCCGGGGTAAATACATATTTTCAAATTCGACGTCTCGTAGCGTGGCCGGTAACTCCGAACCTCAAGAACCCGACAATTGACACAGTTGTAATTTCACTGAGCCTTTTCAACCTAAAAGTCATTCCCACAAAACCCCTGCAACCGGCGACCATCGGATTAAACACGTCCGCACCCGGCCTGACTCCCTGTATCACTATCACTCCACCAAGGATGTTTGCAACCATCGTGCTCTTTTGGCTAGCTTGGTTTAAATACTTCCAACACGCCTTGGATCTAGCACCGTATTCAAGAGTGTCCCCTTCTTGTGGTATCGTGGTCGGGTAGTCAAGAGTCGAACAAACGATTGAGATCGTATATGGGGATGCAAATTTGATTGGCCAATGCGAAATAGGAACGTGAAATTGGCAGCGAAGCGATGCTAGCATCGTTGATGGAGTCACTAGTGATGTTCTTGTGCAAAGCTGTGTTGAGCACGAGGACACTTCCCAATGCCTTCATCATCCCTTGGGCAAAGAGGAGACTCGCGGCTGGTTGATCCCCACTTGTCAGTTCACAGTTCTGTGGCGAGCCAGAGAAGTATCGTACACATGCATAGCGGAATCTCCTACCACAACGAAATTGTTGGGCATGGGTGCCGATAAGTAGTCAGTGTACCATGCTAGGGTAGACTTGTGGAAGAAAAAAGAAGTTTAAATGGACACGACGCATCAATTTGGCAGGAAGTATCTGGATTTCATCTTCACCTGACTCGCTTGGAGAAGATCGAATAGCTTGTAAACCTAAAGCGGAATGTCCAGCAGCACTGGATTGAGCTTGAACAACTTTTCGTGCGTGTCACGAAGAATTTGATTGAGTTGAGCTAAATTACTGGGTGGCGTCACGCCTCCTACGCCAACATAATTAGCATACGAGGGCGTGTTAGTATCGGCTCGGGGCACGAAAACGCACATTGGGAACGGGAAATACAACAATTTCAATTCATCCCAATTCCCCTAGTTGGTGTCACTCCTTGGCACCAATCCCGCAATACGACGCTTCATTTTCTCACTCTTCGCAGGAATATAAAAAAGCATCTATACACGACGACGTTCGGAGAATGGAAATGCCGAGCATATGGACCCCGAGGTGCCACAGCAGCCTCCTTTACAAGACCAGGGTTCGAATGATCAACCGTTGCCTGGGGGAGCAATTTCGACACTATCGCGTTTGCTCCGCTACAATCCGCTACAATCCGCGAAAAGCACACAGGGCAATGTGACGATCTCAGCTGGTTCTATTGGAGGTCTGTAGGACACAACCGTCGCCGGTTTCCTGCACCACATCCCGCCTCTATCTCAGCACGAAGGATGTGCTCCAGTCTGGCATCAATGAAGATCGCTTAGTTTTAGGCGTCCTAAATGACATCCATGGTCACTCATTCGGTACTCGAGCGTCCATGCAAGGGAAGATATGATATAGGGTCCTACAAAAAAATAGGGGATGTTTGGATGATTTGGCGCTCATGGCGACCTCACATTTATGTAGCAAAGAAAGAGGGCAACAAGTTATGTTGGATGAGTGAAATTGACATTTGATCGCCAGACAGTAAGTATCGAAGAATGGACCGAACCAGCGCTGGCAATCAAACAGGAACCCGAGGCCCGCTTCAGGGCCGTTTCTTTGATTTAACTTAAAATCTGGTGCACTGATAGATTGGGTGACTCGGCGGGCCCAAGTCGCTATCAATTCTGTACAACCACCGCTTGCGCTATCGCCTTTAGCGTGCGGCTGAGACGAGTAACAGCATGCGCCGCGTGAGAATGGGCCGACAATTGACCCTGGCAAGCGTGCACGGATACGCAGAGTAGCGGAGGTTCAACCCCTCTGGAGACAAGGTTTATTGTCTTTCCTTTGTCTGCCTCTGTTGCCCGCCACCTCCAGACAGTGAGCACGATGTAGAGAAAAGCCCAACTCTCTTTTTGACTCATGTTGTGTCCAAGTTATCCCCTGCCCGCTTGGCTAGCTGTGCATGCCCGCTATGTCCATTCGGTGAGTGGGATTTATCAAAAGCTAGGCTCTTTGACACATACTATAACTAAGTTACTGCCTACCTGCCCGCCATCCCTACTCGTATTTCGTTCGCTCGGGTATACGCCGATTCTAAGGATACTCTATCAAACGTCCATCAGTCATTCTAACCAACAACCCATCACCATACATATGGATTTGAAAGCACCTATATAAACCGCATGATGTATAACATCCGAGTTTTCGAAACCTCGAAGGCCCGATCTTCGAGTATGGATAGAGATTCATGGAACCGTTAAAATTATTCTGTCGTCTTCGAACCCATCTCGATGAGGCAATAAAGCTCTCAACCGAGGAGCGGGACAACAGTTGTCAGTGTGACCAGTCGGCAGCACAAATAAGGTCGCCGCAAAATACCCAAAACCGGACCTAAAATATCACGAACTGCGCGGCCATCCTTGTGTACTTTCGTCCGAGCGGTCCCTGCTCCTCGGTTGAGAATGTATTCGGCCGGGTTTGGTAATACCTGGGATGAAATCAACGTACGAACTCACGAAGCGCTGAATGTGCGGACGTCTCAGTCCCTCAAAGAGAACTGAGGGGAAAAACGAGATTTCACAACTTGCGCGTATTGGGTTATTCAGGAGGTCATGTATAGTCGTCACACAGCATGTGGCTCATCTGGACAAACTTATTGAGGGGGCTTCCACTAGGCCTCCACACCACTCTCCTGAAGAATTTGACAAGGGTGTGGTTCGGTGCCGGAACAATAGATTCTCACGGTATTCGAGATCCCGTGGTGTTGTCCGGTAACTTGAGCCTTGAGTTGACCGGAGAACCGGACGATTTACATAAGTGACATCACTCGTTTTTTGCGATTCCACTGAGCCTTCCACTGAGTCAAGACCGAAAAAACTTTAACGTCTGGCCTTGTGATGTTATAGGAACGGGTTGCTCAAGCACGCAACCCAACGTAGCACTATATAGTAGCTGGATCTCATTTGGGTATTTCATGTGACAACTTGGTCCTCTAGAAGCTCTTCTCGCGTTCAGCATACTCAGGTTCAATTTTCAATTTGGGTCCCATAATCTGTGGCCGTATAATAACTCTCCCCGTGAAAATGGAGAGCCCGGGCTATACTTAAGGCGGATCATTCTCCGTTTCTCAAACTCGATCTCTCTCTCCTCCTTGCCCTCGCTCTCACTGGAGTCCAGGCTAGTACACCTCCCGTCTTTGACAAACCTAGCTAGACCGATTCGCTGACTTATCTTCATACCCCTCACCCCTAACATTCCCCATTCTAATCACCTAACAGTCTGAGACTCCTTAAACTAATTCGTACCTCAATATGTCGTTCCCTCAAGTGAAGGGCGTTACTTACCATGGTTAGTGCCTGGATACTTTAACTACCTTCATGACAATACGGGAGGAATACTGATGAATATCCTACTCTTGGGTGACTATTCTACATGGCGCTTCGCCGGATTGTTTGTGTGACCATGGCTTTTGTTGCATCCCCGCTTCGTGGATATAACTTCCCCACATGGGACCCCGCATGTCCCTGACTACGCACACACATGTTTCATTCGTTAACTACGTTGCCACGCGTCTGCCTGAACCTGGTCCACCTGATCTCCCCGTCCCGCTCCCGGCCTTCCATCCCTCAACGCCATAAATCTGACCAAACCCTTCACCTTCTCGGGATATATATCATCGAATGAATGGGAATGGGCTTGTCATCATCATGATTACCCAATGACATCGACTCACTCCTCATCAACTTTTACTCTCGCCACCATTCCACGGCATCCATCCGGCCTCAAACACCCCTCATTCCATGCGAATCATCAACTATGACGAATTATCCCAAACCAAACCCCTGACTCTTCACCACAGGTCCAAAACTTACACCTGCTCAGGCGGTGATCCTCACTGAACCCGCGATCAAGTTCGTGGCTGCCCTTCATAGGACGTTCAATCCTACCCGATTGGCGGTATGTACCCTTCACTTTCTTGATCTCTCTCTCTCTCCCTTCTATTTCTAATGGCATTTCCCTGCCCACATCTCAACTCCGGCACGTCCATGCGCTCTTACACGCGATCCCAAAATTAAAACAAAAAGCTCCTGCACGCCCGTCAAGCCTTCCAAAAGCGTCTTGACACACTCTCATCTCCATCCCCTTTGACTTTCACCTTCCCACCCGAAACTGCGCACATTCGAAATGACCCTACGTGGATCTGTGCGCCCCCTGCCAAGGGGTTGGAAGATAGAAGGGTTGAGATTACTGGGGGTGTCGGAGAGAGGAAAATGGTCGTTAATGCGTTGAATTGCGGAGCGAAGACGTTCATGGCTGATTTTGAGGGTGAGGCTTTTTTCGGACTTTAAGCTCGGGATCACTCGGTGTTCCAGTGTTTTGAGTACTTTGAGTGTTTTGCTACTCCCCATATTTCATCTTAGCACCTCTTTGCATTCCACGCCTTATATGATCCGTGTCACATTCCCGATTCAGTAACTGACAACATCATTTTGACTTGACAGATGCCAACTCTCCGACCTTTGCGAATTTGGTCAATGGACAAGTGAACCTACGAGATGCTGTTCGTCGTCAGATCGATTTCGAGTCGGGTGGGAAGAAATACAAGCTTGTTGAGAATCCGGCCGTTTTGATTGTCAGGTGAGCTTATCGTTCTTCGCGTCCTCTGGCAAAGAAGCTGATAAACTCGATACCTTCATCGCCTCGGGTAGGCCTCGCGGATGGCATCTGGAGGAAACTCGGATCCGAATCGATAACAAACTCCTATCTGGATCCATATTCGATTTTGCACTTTATTTCTATCATAATGCCAAATATCTCCTCGCTCATGAATCCGGACCCTACTTCTACCTCCCAAAAATGGAGCACTACCTCGAAGCGCGCCTGTGGTCCGACATATTCTACTTTTCTCAATCATACATTGGTATACCTGTTGGGAGCATTCGAGCGACGGTGTTGATCGAGACATTACCGGCGGCGTTCATGATGGAAGAGATCTTGTGGGAATTGAGGGTTCACTCGAGTGGGTTGAATTGTGGAAGGTGGGATTATATTTTCAGTTTCATCAAGAGGAGAAGGGCGGAGGGTGGGAACGCTATTTTGCCGGACAGGAAGGATGTGACGATGGAAGTTGGGTTCATGGATGCGTATGTAAGGTTATTGATTAAGACGTGCCATAAGTGGGTTGTTGTTTTTTTATTATTTTCCCGTGATCCTTGATCAGGATTTTTTTTCTCAAGGCGAAAAGTAGCAGCGATGGGCGGGATGTCAGCCCAGATACCGATCAAGAACGACTCAGCCGCTAACGAACTCGCCATGTCTAAAGTCCGAGCGGATAAACTTCGAGAAGTGAGAGCTGGACATGATGGAACGTGGATTGCGCACCCCTTGATTAGGGTGATTGCACAAGATGTGTTCGATGCGCATATGCTGGGACCAAACCAGTATCATGTGTTGAGGAACGAGGTTGTGGTTAGGGAGGAAGAATTGTTGAATGGGGATGTGAAAGGAGGGAGGATCACGGAGGAAGGTGTAAAGGGCAACGTTTTTGCGTGAGTTTGAGCTTCAGTCTCTTCATTCAGGTTTGGGGTCAAGTTATTAGATGTTGATGTCCCCCTTTTTTTTGTGGGCAGGGCTCTGGCGTATTGCGCTGCTTGGGTGACAGGGAATGGATGTATCCCTATCAACGGTCTTATGGAGGATGCGGCGACCGCCGAAATTGCCCGCGTTCAACTCTGGCAATGGGTTTATCACGGTGCTCTCCTCGTAGGTTTCCCAACTAACTTGATTCTCTTTCCCTTTACTCATTCATAATTCTTTCTTCGCAGGACACCGGCGAACCCGTTACGAAAGCGCTCGTGGAAAAGCACATCGCTGAGTATATCCCCTCCGTGCTGAAGATTGGAGGTGTGAAGCAGTACCATGTGGATATCGCTGCGAGGTATTTGTCGGGTGAAGTCGAGAAGGGGGAGAGGAAGGAGTACCCAAGTGAATTCCTGACGAGCGATTTGATGAAGTATTTGGATGCGGAGTTTACGGGAGCGAAGTTGTGAGTACTATGGTGGATGGGTGGTATATATGTGTGTGGTAGGAGAAGTCCTGGAGAATGAGGCTTTTCGATTCCTTTTTTGTTCTGACCGGTTCGTCTTCGGTCGTCCTTCATGTTTAGCAGGATTTCTCCCGTCTGCATCCTTTCCCGCTTCGCCTTACGGCCCTCACCGCGTATTCTGATAATGTTCGTTTCGACCCTTCTTTTTTTTTTGCCGTGGCACCCTATATGTTGGTTCGACGTCGCCGACCCCGTTAAGATTTCGCGGCCCTTTTCTCTCTCCTCTACGTGTAAATTCGCAGCGTAGTTATGTTCTGGTACATCTGCTTGTATACATCCCACAGAAAGAAATAAATCGAAATATTTACCATGTCGGCATACTTCAGCATCCTCCCACCGCACCGCCATTCTACACGCCTTGGCTATGGGTAAATAATTCGTTCATTCCACGTCTTTCCCCAGTTCACGTTGAGGTTTTTTTTTTGGCAAAGTGGAATTTCTTGACCTCCGTATCTCAGCGTACACGCTCGGCGAATATAACATTGCTGAATTCACGTAGCTTGGAACCGAGTGTTATTTAATAAATGAACAAGCTACTTTTGGAACAAAAGGGCAGGGGGACACCCCGGTTCTGCGATTTGTGGCACTCGAGCACCCAGAGAATGCGAATGCTTGATCGGAAGGAAACCGAACTTGAAGAGGGAGCAAATATTTCCATTATGCAACCACTTATTATACATAATGTTCGATTTGTTGAAAGGGACAAGGCCTCCACTTGAAGGGGAGGTTATAGATTAATCGTTAAGCAATACTGTAGGTCATGAATGAGATATATATAATATGTAAAAAAGATCTGAAGAGGTCGATATATTGCTTAAGTTAAGTTGACGCGTCTCATTCTGAAACCACTGGATTAACAACGATCATGCAAAGGCGTTAGAGAGCCAGTAGGTTGATATGACAGGGATATCGTGAAGCCGGTTTCGGCCGATCAATAAAGCAACCAAAAATATTGCACATGAGTAGCCGTCTGGGAAAATGTTGCTTCGCCGCGCCTTGCGGCTGTCCGCACTGTATACAGAGATTGTTGTTGTTATCACTATAGCCCAATGTGGACGTAGCGCTTCAGCGGCTACACGCTCGCACAGGACGAAAGTGGAACTAAAAGATTACCACTTCGTTTTATAGTGCATGGGGGCTGTGCTATAGAACGGTGGCGCACAGACGCGTCGAAGAGGCGGTGTCAGGAATAATGTGAGATGTTGCGCATCTGTGCAGCGCTTGGCCGGGTGCATGTTGCCGGGCCCGGAGCGGCATCATACATAACTTGTACTCCAACAGAGATGGTTGCACAAATAGGCAGTGCAATCTGGCAGTTGGGCGCGCGGATGAGATGCGGCGCGAAGCTTCACCGCGCATGGCTAGCTCAATCATCTTCCCCCTAAAGAGAGGTTGGTCACCTGCCTAGCTCGATCAGTCAGCACACCACCTGCCAGTGCGCTCCGCGCCAGAGAATCCATTCAAAGAAACCCATGGTTGCATGTCTGTCAATTGAATGTATTAGAATGCTGTGCTGTGCATGCTTTCGTTGATATTTCCGTAAAATCCTCTTCGTCATTCGTTTTGTCCAACACACTCAATAAAACCATTATGAAATGGCCAGGACACACCAAGAGAACCTGGGAACCCCCCGGTACTAGTATCGTTGAGAGACCAATTCTTGAGTCGGAATACATGAACGGCTGAGGCAGTGACAACAGATCGTTGAAATTGTATGCATATAGGGTTTGAATTTGAAGACAGAAACTCAGTTGGTGATCCGGTTTGTCGTCCTCCTACTTCTGCTCCAGATGCCATATATGACTGATTAGTGAACGGACTTGGTACACATATGTTCCGACGGTCGAGGCGACTTCGGACCAACTTCGGACCAACCTCGGACCCTCTTGGTCTTTGCACAGGTTGACTAACATTCAACATAGATGTCAAATGCCACTCAGGCGAATGGACGGTCACTGTTAGAACTAAAGGATACCCCACAGCAGAATCTAAAGCATGCCTGAGTGAAATAGAGAGGCCAAATATGAAGATACTCTCCCAGCGCCCCTTAATCGATCTATTTTGAAAGTTTCCCGATACCGGTCCAATCACCAATCAATAACCCTCTAATGGGACTCCAATAAACAACTCGGATATCGGGTTCCCACAATCCTCTGTTCACCCATGCATCGGCCCACCACCTCGCTGACCAAACCAGCCAAATCCACGCAAAGATTCGCCGAGCAACTCGGAGTTTTGGAGGAAGAGGCTTCTTCGTAAGTCCCGCCCCGGAAACTTGGGCGTCCCCGGTAGTCCCATAAGCATCAGTATCTTTTTTGGGAGAGCCGTTTGAATTTGATTGATCATTCGGAGCAAGGCTAAGAACGAGGAGACTTTCCAGGATAATGCCGATGGGTTGAGCGAGATAGAATGATATGATAGATACATCCCAGAATTTCGTATGCGGACGACGTGCGTCGATTGGTACACGGTCCATGATGATGAGATGAAGGAGAGTGGAGAAAATGAACACAATAACAACATTCTTGCCACGGTGGAAAGCTAGTCGTCTAGGGTTCATGGCGCGGCCATCAGACGCGGATGAAAAGACGGAGAGCAATGACCCAAATGTTTGACGGAGCAGGTAATGCCACCTGTTTCCCCAGAAGTCCGCGATGGAGTCTGCGAAAAATGGCATATTGAACATGGGCGGCCATGCCTCTGGGCTGGTGATCCCAATGAATGTAAAGAATATTGAGATTATGCAGTAATACACTGCGATACCAAGGTATATCCATGTGCAAAGGGCTATAGCACACAGGATCTGTAACCAAAGCGGCAGAGTCGCAGAAACGGGATACGGCGATAGGACGTTGAAATCCATCGACTTGACGAATGTGTCGACTGCATCGACTGTGAAGTAACAAATAACAAACCACGCTACAGACTTTCTCAGGAATTCCCCCCTAGACCATGTGTATTGCTGCTTGATGCTTTCAACAACTCTTGGAGCAGCAAAGTCCCAGTATCTACCCGAACGCCAGCTACAACCACGCATCCCAAAAACCAGGTCAATGGAATAGGCAAGCCGACCCCGAAATGTGCTCGGCAAGGGGAGGGGCGTCCCAGTTTGAATGTTTATCACCCGAGGAAGCTCGGAGCCGTCAGAAAGTTGGATGACACAGGTTTCCATGATACGCATCATGCAATAGAGGGCAACCGTCGCAATCCCGGTGTGTAACTGCGATCAAATGATCAATGTTGGAATCCCGTGTGAGCTGTATAAGCTCACCTGGGGATCAAAGTCTCCACCATCCTCAAGGGTTCGAAAGTAGGAGAAGCCAAACTTATAGAAGTAGGTAATTGCGAACGGAGCAACAAAGAGTCTAACAAGCGTTGTCCATGATTTCCGGCCGTAAGTGGATACAAAAATTGCGAGCCACAGGCGGAATAGCCCAGCGACAAGATGCGGCAGAAGTGTTTCGGCGTATTTGGGCCCGGGGGCACCTGCAATGGACTCCTCTGATAGGGACTGCCACCAATCAGGGAGTCTTCTCAACTCCCCAAAGAGCCCGATCATCCTTGAACAAGTCTGCCAGAGTTCAAGCCGCGATTCCTCAAGTACTTTGAACTCTCGTCCCTAAGCTAAGAAATGGAATGAAGTGCTTAGTACCGGTGAATCTAACAACAACCGCCATCAGAGACCTGCCTTTTATTGGGGTTGACTGCGAGTTCGATAATATTGACGCGTTGTCCTAAGACTGGTGTCGTCAACACATACATAAAATTGAAATTATTGGCTGTTCCCACGACCAACAACCCATACCTCGACTGTGGAACTCATCCAGCAAGCCAACATTTGCTCTGGGCGTCTGCCGTAACGATCTGGACATCTTTGGAAACGCCATCCGAAGGTGTAAATACGTCACGCTGATGAATGCCTCCTGAACAACGGCTATGTGTCGCCCATGAGGCTGCGGTCCCGCCCGTTCAGTGCAATATGCCTTCACATGTGGATCTCCATATATCCATATGATGCGGAAATCAAGGCGAGCGGTGATTTGAATATCTCGTCTCCAAAGCTGTGATTATGTACATACTTGCAACTGTGCAATATTTACGTAACACAGCCATTTCCGCTCAAAGTCTTGTTGCACCGCAAATCTGCTATATAGGTCCGTCCTCAATGGTTTTCTACACCTTTCCGACTTTTCTCCTGTGTGACTTGTTTCCCATCCCCTATCATCAATGTCGCGGATGGCTCCCTGGAAGGCAGCCGAGCCAGACAAGATACAACAATTCACGCCACCTCTTGACAACATGCCCGTGACGTCCCAGAATGTTCCAGCAGTACCAATCGTGCCTCAGCGGTCCAGGTTGCGGCCGGATGGCACCCGCATTGGGGAACTACAACATCGAGATCCTCTAGCGGTTGCTACGCATTTGCGGAGGCGGAGTGATGCCGGAAATTACCCTTCTATGCTCTCGGGTTTAGTTTTATACTCGGATACGTACGGGGGAGGTGTTCGTCTTGCTGGGCCCTCACATTTAGATGCTCCTAGCGCTTCTGATCTGATCGCCTCAGCGAAGTCACCCTCGTCCGAGATGCCAGATGCAAAAGCTTTCTATATCCCGCATCCATCTGCCGAATTGCAACGCAGACCGCATATCCGTCGCAAATGTCGAGGGAAATCGAGTTCAATATCGAGTTTGCCTGCTCATGACCAATATCGGTCAGACTCAGTAGCTCCATTGCCTCAGTCGGCACCTGCTGCAAGTTCATCCTACTCCGAGCGCCACCCCCCATCCCTAACAAGCCGAACTGACTCTCCAACCTCCTCTTCCTCTTCCTCTTCCTCAAAATCATCGAAACCATATCTTCATCCCATTATTACCCGGGGCCTTCCAACTCAGCCGAAGAGCAATGAGCATGTGGAGTGGCCCGCTAAGAAACCTCGCCATCCCGCCTTCCTTTTCCCGCTCCCAACCCAGACTGGATCAGCCGACGTTTCTGGAAGCACAATCAAGACTCTGGCAAAAGTATCAACCTCTACTTCGACCTTGGGCATAGCCCTGGAACCAGTCCTTGTCAGTCCGCCGCCCTTACATCCTACTCTAGAACGCCCTAAGGCGGTGAAGGTCGTCGGCCAGGCCCAATCTGGCCCAACAACGAAAAGAAGCAAGAAGGTGATTGTCGAGAGCACGAACTCAAAGGATGCGGCGGCCTCCTTGTCCATTAGGCCTAGCTCTTCTCGCCCGCCAGTCTCCGTTTCTGGCCCTGGAACCAGCAGCAGCAAAGGGAAGGAAGCCGTCAGGCCGTTCCAACGACCCTTTCGTCCTCTTCCAAAGCCACCTTCGAATCCTGCGCCTGTACGCTCACCCGAAGCCACCATTGCCCCCATTTCCGATCGAAAATCGCCGACCCTCCGTGCACTTCTTGATCCTCCATTCACTCTTCCATCACGTACGATATTAACCCAAGCACCGCCTAACTCTCCTGCTAACTCATCCAAAATTCTTCACACTTCAGACTCGACGCCTTCCCTTACGCGGTCAGCTTCCCTCGACAGCATCTCTATATGGTCTCAGGCCTCAGGTCCCGCTACTGGTGCTCCACCGACACGTGTGAGTTCTTTAGCGTACCCTATCAGTGGGCCACGTCAGCGGATGTCTCGTAGAAGCACCAATCGTTCGATGCGGGCTTTCATTGTGCCACCTTTAGCCGGGGGGCAGAAGGAACAGAGAATCTCGATACTCTATCAGAGCACACAAGAGGAACTCGACACTCTCACAGACTGGTTACGATACGACTCCTTATTAGAAGGGTCAAATACGATCACAGGCATTGCTCCGTTAGACAATTCACTTTCTCTAGAAACTAAATACGAAAAAGGAGGCGGCAATGAACCAATACCATCTGGGGGTTCACATTGGGGTCTGGTGACGGAGGATAAGAAACAGAAGACCAAGCTCAGGAGAGCGGACACGAACGCTGTGAAGGAAATGTTATTACAGCGACGTGAACGTGCTCAACTGGATGCTCAAAGCCGCGCTCAGGATATTCCCAAGAGGTTCGCAGGGATGGGGTTTGGCAGTCAGCTGGGAAGGAGGCCCAGTCACGCACAGGATCGTAGCGCCAATTATGTAAACAGGGGACCCCCGAACGGGAAAGGGATGGAAATGGGAAGGATGATTGCTGTTATGTGAATTTCCTCATCGGACAAAAAACTCTTTGCTATTGTTTTTCCGGTCATTCTTTATTCGTTTATGCTTATTCTACCTCGAACACGTTCCTTCAAACTCTTATGTAACTCAAGTTCTATTGCCATGACCTTTTTTTTCGCATTTCACATCGGCATTCATACCTCTTGGTGCCTCTTGGCACCTGTAATAGTCGAACTCCATGAACCTTAATGTGCAATTACGTGATCCCATCCAGGAACCATAACGCAAAGAGAAAGGGGTCAGTGTGATGCGTGAAGTAATAGTGGCAGTACATAGGCGACAAAGCAGCAACACAGCTTTGCCCCAATTCAGGCCTTGGCAGAGTGCCCAACGATTTTCTGAAGCTCTGAAGGGGTGAGCGGCACAAGAAAAAATATGTGAGCAATACCCCACAGACATAGACATCGGACGTACGCGGGAGTGTGATCGTCTCGCGCGTAACAGTCGCTTTTATCTGATTGTCGATGTTCGGTGGTACAGACACGACGCCCGTTGACGTATTCAATGACCAGCCCAAAGAAGCTACATAAGACTCGAAATCGGCCCCTAAGGCGGTGCATTCTTTAAATAACGGGGGTGTCAAATCTGGGGTATGTGAAATCACCTTGTAAGTTGACGTAAGTTGCAAATCTGTCCCTCCCAATGTTTGTGAATGTTGCCTGGACGGCCCTGATCACGGCGTCCCTTACGGAGTCATCAAATCCTGCGCATTCCACAGTATAATTTTCACGCAGTGGCGCAAGTTCTTGCGAGAGATACGTTTTCCAGAAATCTGGAAAGCGGCATGTGTGCAGGAGATTGGAGAGTTGGATGAGATTCGGGAGTAGTGGCCGGAGGGGGTCGGGTTCGCCATCAGGAAGGGGGATATTCTACGGGAGGACGTCATTTTGAAGGTGTCACAGATTAGAGAAACGGCACACGCCTGTCTTTCGCCGAGAAGAGCAAGACAGAGGTTGAAATCGGGAGCAGGAGCGGCAGTTAGAGCCTTGATGAGGATATTTATCACCACGTCTGGATTGTACAAGTCGGGATTGAATTGATATCTAATGGATTTCCCATCAGTCAGTGACAAAAACCTTACGCAAAAAACCTAACAGTTTTAATATGGCAAGATTGGGGAGACAATCGTGTTCCCGCTCTCGTATCTGGTGGTACAAATAGTCCTCGAGAATGCCAACGTTTTGAGGATTGTATCTATCTGAATAATATGTCACACACAATGAAAAACAAGACGACAATAGCTACTCCTCACCCACTCCCTCCACCAACTGATCGATGATCTCAGTTCTTGTCGAAGGCTTCGTCCAATTCTCTGCCATTTTTTTGAGACGATGCTACGTCACGTGGCCTGGCCACGGGAATAACCCTTCACACGCGCGCTTAAATCTGCCATTCAATTCAGTCATGGACGCATCAGCTGAGCCATCGCAGCGACCTGGGGAGGACGGAGGATCGCAATCAACCGATGAGGAGATGGACCCCCAAGCTGGGGCACCTATTCAAGAGCCTCTAGCTCCTCCTCCTGCTCCAAAAACTCCCCCTCGTGCTCCAGATGCCCCCCTTGCTCCAGGCAAGCCGAAACCAAGGTACAAGCTTCGATTTACCATGGCAGGTATGTGCTGTCCTCCGGAGTCTTATTAATGTATTTGAGCATACATATAGGCCACAAGATGGGACTCTCTTGTGTGAGATTCAGCCCTGACGGCGATTATGTTGCTAGCTGTTGTGCGTGAACGCTATCATTCACCCAATCCATTGACTCAGGCTTTAGCTTATCTAGCTGCCGATAAAAAGATCATAATATGGGATGTCTACACTGGGCATCAAGTCAAAACACTCGTTGGACATAACGAAGGATTGTCCGATGTGGCTTGGTCTGGTGACAGCAAGTATCTTGCCAGCGCCTCTGACGATGGGTCTATTCGCATATGGTCCGTAGATGAAGTATGTTCACTTTCCTTCCCTTCACAAAGAACTATCTTATTAGTGAGACAGGCACGGACGCTCAGAATCCTTAAAGGCCACACAAACTTTGTCTTCTCTGTCAATTATAATCCACAATCGAATCTCATTGTTTCCGGAAGCTTCGATGAGACGATAAGAATATGGGATGCTGAAAGAGGTAAAGGGGTCTACTATTCCCTTGATCCAGTTCTGAGGCTAGCCTCTAAAGGGAAATGCTTGAAGTCCATCTCGGCCCATTCCGACCCGTGCACGGCTGTCCAGTTCAATCGGGATGGAACATTAATTGTGTCCTGCAGTTATGATGGTTTAATGTTCGTCGTCTTACCCACATGGCGATTGCCTTATGGCTAATGATCGTTATTAGCCGAATTTGGAATACAGCAACAGGCGAGTGCCTTAAGACTCTCGTAGACGAAGCCAACCCATGCGTGTACGTGTATAACCTCGAATTGAAGCGGATAACGAGTGTAAACGATTCTTCAGCTCACATGTCAGGTTCTCACCCAACGGGAAATTTGTCCTAGCATCCACACTTGACAATACGATCCGTCTCTGGAACTTCCATACTTCCCGCGTTCTGAAGACTTACGTTGGTCACAAGAATGATGCCTACTGCATATTCTCTGCGTTCAGTATCACTGGATCCGGCAAATGGATCGTCAGCGGCAGCGAAGATTACAGCATCTACCTTTGGGACCTACAGACAAAGGAAATCGTTCAGACACTAGAAGGGCATAAAGATGTAGTCGTTGGTGTTGCAGTAAGCACAACAACACTTCATTTTTCATTCCAATCTCATCATGCCACGCCCTTGGCAGACACACCCAACTCGTAATATCATTGCCTCCGGAAGCCTGGAGAAAGATCCCACCGTGAGACTTTGGTATGAAGATACTGAGGACGATGCAACGGAAGGGAGCGCAGAAGACGCCCCTGACCATGGACAATAGAACTAATTAATCTTGCTCTTGGATTAATTTCTGGACACAATCCAATGGCTCCGCGTGGGCCATTGAAAGGGCAGCCGCTCACCGGGACGGCCAAACCCAAATTCATGATACTGGGTTTGGATGAGAATCAGGGGAGTGAAGGGCGACCTCAAGAAGTTGCCGTAATTGAAGATATTCAAAGCTACATCTGTGTTGTGAGTTGCCTCCAATACATAGTGCCATGATTGGTTTGCTTTATTTTGGAACGGTGTCAATATCCGCCCGAGGAATTGTTCATTCCGCCGTTCGATCAGTGGTTTTCTAATGTAATTGCACAGCGCTTCTAATATCATCTTGCCGGCGCCACTCCATTGGTGCGGATCTGACTGCGCCCTCTGGAGTCTGTGGAACTGAAATCGCTAAGCCCATTGCAAGGGGAAGATTCGGATAAGGATCGATAGTTACATTCCATTTTTTTGCCAGGACTACATGTCATCACGTCTTTCCGACCTAAGAACCATCATGACCGCACTATATGGTCCTGCGGCATTCTAGTCACTGGTCGCTCATCCTGGGTTTCTTGTTAGTAGTGGCTGACTGGAGCACCGATTATGCATATAAAGAACATCAGATGCTACGTCGTCGACATCGAGAAGACCTGATCTAAGTACACCGCCTTATTGCTTCGTACGCTAGGCCTAAGATGCACCTATTATAGAGTGCGTGTATATTCATCTAGTTTTGCCAACGGCACCCTTCAAACAATCTAAGCATTCCTCTATCTCCTTTGTCTTCCGGTGGCCCAAACCAAGACCAAAGGCCGCCCTGGAGCGTGCACCCACTTTGTCCACATATCCTTCAGTGTTCGCTGCGTACGACATAGCATTGAACTCCAGTCGTATCGCACACTTGCGCACCACATGAGCGCTGCCACATCGAGATCATCAGCACAGGGGATTCATCGAGGGGATTCTGAGTGGAGCTACCGTTTCAGCCCGTCAAGTGACCGTCCTCCCCGTTGCACATCTTCCCAGACCTGTTCAGCGGCATCCCGCCTTTCCAGTAATGAATGACGCAAGGCAGAAAGTATGGTCTCCAATCCATCCTCCCTTGCAGTTATAGGGATTTTCTCAGAAAAAGCGACATCGATCTCCAAATCCTCAACCAAAGCCAATTTTTGTTCGTTGGTGAGTTGAATGAGGCCTAAGAAAACCTTCGTCATCCTAAGGTTGAAAAAATTATCGCTATCACTACCTTCGTCCTGATCAACGTGGGGGTCTGGCTGGCTCAGATTAGAGTGGGGTTTCTCGTGGAGATCAAGACCAAGATCGTCTGTCGTGGCACCAACCATCGGAGCAGGGCCACTGCTAGCTTCTTTTGGCTCTATGGATGTGATTCTCAATCAAGATCGGGATCAAATGGATTTAACTGGATTTACCATTGGGCCGAACACTTGGACCTGCACTCGTGTTGTCTGACCATGCTGCCGGGGGTACCTTCCAAGGCACCTTAAACGGTGCCATAGAAGACGCCCTGCGGATTGGCTTTTTACCTCCAAATGTCTTGGGGCGCTTAGCTGCATAAGCCTCATCCTCGCCATCAACAGCCTCATCTACAGAGGAAGTGCGCTTGACTCGTGTAATGCTTAGATCCACTAAGTCGTAGTTGTCCTGTCCAGGTTGAGCCAAATTGATGAGCCCTCGCCGAAGGACCGGACCCTCATCCATTTTGTCATAAGACCCAAGGGACGACCGCTTTGGCCTAACCGTAGTTGCTTTTGATTCCGGTAACGACAGTCGTGGACGGGTTTGAGGGAGTCGGAAGGATGCGGAATGCGATGGTGGAAGAACAGTACCGATATTCGACTTATGGACGTCAGTAAACCTCCGATCACCAGGAAATTTGGTATGGTCTTCCTCGTCACCGCTCTCCAACGATCGTGCCTCATGCTGGAGCCTGGGGACTTGTGAACATATCCACTCTTCGCTATCGAGATCAGCCTTACGCTGGCGAGTCCTTTCCGGGTTCTTGCATACCTTCAGATGATCACGTCAAACATCTCAAACATCTGTACGTCAGAATGCATCTATATCTCATACTCACGTCGCACATTTTGTCACAATATGCGACTTTCACTAGATCTTTGTCTTGGAAATCAATGACTTCTCCAAAGTATTGACAAATGAGCTAAGAAGATTTGGTAAGATATTCCCTTTTGACGGTGGACACTTACAACGTGACGACATATTCCAGTGTTCTCTGCGTATGATATCAACTGGGATTCAGTGGGTATGTTAGCAGCGTCTCAACGCAATGAAAACGGATTTGAGATACCGCTTCAACGCTATTTGGAGCCCTTTGTGATGGTTCAGGCCCGCGCCATGTACGCACCGCCTGTGACTTCTTCACAAAATGTCGTATTTTGACGGCTTCCTCTCGAGCTGGAATGTTGTAAGGAGGGTTTTTCCTGCACCTTGCAGCCAATAAACCACCCACAGTAGTACAATATGCATTTCGCGGGCTGCAGGGTTATGGCTAATAACGCCAAAGTGCGAGGATGGAATACAGTGTACGGACCTCGCCATCACGGCCAGCACGTCCTAGCATAGGATCAGGCAGCCGTCTGAGGTGCAATTGAGTCCGACGTACCTGTCTCCTGATAATACCCTAATAAATGTTCATATTACATACACCGAACGGACTAGGCACCTTGCGCACCTTCGAAAGATTTCGGTAGATCGAAATGAATAACATACCTAGGTTCCGTACACATTATTGACTGGCGTTAGATGTGCGATCGGAAAACATACCGGACGTCCGCTTTGTCAATACCCATACCAAATGCTACTGTACAACACACGACATCGCATGACCCATCTCCATCCAGCCATTCCTGCAATGTAAGGTCAAGTCGTGGACGGGGCACGCCTCGATGATATGGCCGCGCAGCCAAACCTTTCCTTCGCAGATACTTGGAAAGCTCGTCACAAGTAGCACGCGCACGAGCGTATACGATTCCGGATGATGGGCGACCCCGTCTTTCCGTAAGCGAACGAACATAGGCGTGAATGAGTTCGAATTGAGCCTCTTGGGGCATTGACGGTATTGGCCGAACCTTCGTCATGAGAAGATAGAGAGGCTGAGGCAGCAAGCGTTTAAAAACGTACCTCGTAGAAGAGGTTATCTCTATTGAATGGATAGACAATGGAGAACAAATGCTCTTCACTCATCTGTAGGGTCTTTTTGATATCGGACCGAACCCTGTCTGGGTCGTGAGTCATTACAGACAACTCTTACGCTCGGAGGATGCTTACGCTGGAGTGGCACTTGCGGTCAGAGCGCTGATAGGGACGTTCGGGAAGTGGTCTCGAAAACGGCCAAGCATTCTAAATTCTTCGCGGAAGTCATGTCCCCATTCCTGGGAGTAGGTCATTCACAGAACATATCTGAGGAATGATAATACCGACAGAGATACAGTGCGCCTTGACATTTAGTGGGTGAGAATATCCCAAATCACAGCCGTATGATACTTGCCTCGTCAATGACTAGCCTCTTCAGTTTACCACGCCGATTCAGAGGTGTCAGAAGTCCCATGAAACTTTCCACCATCAACTTTTCGGGTGTAACTTGGGGCGTCCGCTTCAGCAATGTCTTCGCTGGACTCGTGCAAGCAACTCACTATAAAGTAATGTGATGAAGGCGGGTCCGGATTCTAGGCCGGTCATAATCTGAAGGATGAGTTAAAGCTCAACAGTTGGCACAGTGGGGGGCACAATCATGCCTCATTTTTCTCTGCAGTAGGAGTCTCCGATGTTAAGGAGTATGCATCAATGCCACAAGCGCGTAGTTTCGCAACTTGATCCTTCATGAGCACTAGCAACGGGGAGACAACAAGGGTGATCCCCCCCTCCTTCGAGAAATCGGTCAAAAGTTGCCGAGGGTGCAACAATGTAACATACCGGCTCCGCTACAGCAGGGAGCTGGTAGCAAAGGCTCTATCGGACGTCATTCAATGTTAAATGACTGGCAGGAATGCAGAGTCTAGACACTTGCCTTTCCCATCCCAGTTGGGGCACTGACAAAGACGTCCGCATCCCGAAGCGTGGCTTCAACGATCTCCTTCTGCTTTCCCTTGAACGATGTCTTTCCAAACACTTTGGGGAAAACTGTGAGGATCATGGGGTATGAATGCGCGATTGACGCGTCGCACCAGTTCGGAGGATGCTTTCGAGAAACGTCTGTGTCAGTTCTCGTGAATCTTATACTGGGAGACTAACTTACTTGCCGCAATCTATTTCCCTGCTGGTTGCGCGTGTGGTCAGAATGAAAGGCAATTGAGGCTTGAGGACGACAACACATACCTCGAGGCTCTTCGAAAAGTGCGAGGGAGCTGAATCTCCATGTCGAGATTTGCATGTCCGTCAGAAGCAGAAGTGGGCTCCGACTCCGTGGCCAGTCCTTTCCCATCATACATAGACGATGACGCACTTTCTGGGCCCATATAACTGATGTCTTTAACGCGGAGTCGGCGCTTAGGTGGACCAGAAAGGGTTTGAGTCGATCCATATATATAAACAAACACAATGTTGAAATTATCTTGTCTGCACTACATAGCACCAATGTAACGTTCTCAAACGGAGGACTAGACAGGTGCACTATGCTCTCGTGTTACTTTCACAGAATACGTAGAGTGGCATTACTTATTAGCTCTTTACCACGTACTTGATATCTCGCGTCAATTTGGTTCAAATTTCGCGAAACAATCGCTTTCGCAGTTCTGAACAATACCATTCGTACATTGCATCCATACGTTAGGATGGAGACAGGAAGGATCCCCAAGAAGTTACACACTTGCAAAGACAAGATACATCAATCAATGTGTCACCAACTTTATAGCATGTGTCAGCAAAAAACTAGTGCACATGCTTCAAACGTGGGGCAATGATGTTCTAGCAAACAAAATAAACTCCACGGCCGCAGGAGAAGTAGTGGTACCCTTCTCAACGGCCCACAAGATGAAGACGAATTTGCAGTTTTGAATGATAGAAGAAAAGGAAAGGTGCCTCTTTGCTTCCGCATTCATATTGCGTTCTCTTTCCCATCACACCACTTGTGCACGAAGCAGGGTCAGGTCAAGCAACCGTGAGTGAACCTACAAAACCCCAGCGCAAAAAAATCACGTGTTTGATGAATTTACACAAATATGAAAATGATGATATTTTGTTTGAATCCGCCAATTACAATGAAGGAAATGAATAGGATGCAAGCGTGAAGACGCACGGGCAGGGCCCGGGCGCCTTCATAACTGTGGGGCATTTAACGGAAGGGAACAGAAAGTTGTATGCAGTAAGAAAAAAATAGTGGAAGAAGGGGGGCGAGGGAATTGAGGCCAGTTTAACTATACATATATATGGTTTGGTCGAGGCCCCTAGCGGTGGCGGTTTGGCCTAGTGGCCGGTGCCGGATTCCCTTCAATCCCGTGTCTGGATGGGTCTTGGTTCGAGTCCTGTATGGTGTTTCTTTTTTTTCTCCCTTAGAAAACCTTTAAGATGAGAAACTTCAATTCCGAGGGGTGATCAATGTCATGAAAAATGTACATTGGGCGGCTTTTGACTTCGTGATCAACCCCGGATCCGTGGCTGAAATTAACACTTTATATATTACTTTTAGGACCGGATCCATTTGAGGTCTACTTGGTCTAGTGGATTATAGCGCTGTTTATGACCCTGTCTCCCCCCTGCTTGTGCAGGTTCGATTCATTCATGGTGGATTTTTTTTTGCCACAGTTATTGCACAAGGATGACTTCAATGTATATATAACACCGATAAGCAATGCTACACTAACTGCACTAAACAAACCCTATTCCGAGCACGTTCTACAATACACAAGCGCTGTAATGGTAATTAATAATTTTAGTTTGGTAATTGGGTTGGGTTGGGGAATAACAGGGAGGGGACGATGAGACCGCACGCAATGAATATTTATTACATAATAACGTCACATGTAGGCAATGGTCGTTGGCTGGTTTCTAAATCAATTCCCATCATTTTTTGTTCGGCCAAGATCACGTGTATATTTCCTTTTGCGCTCATCTCAGAGGGGTTTTGTAGGTTTTCTGCAACCGTGCACGAAGCGAACGTCCCACTCAAGGACATATCCTTCCCCACTCATCGCACTCATGTCTAGTCTTGTAGGATATGTGGATAGTGAGCTGTAGGGGCGTGTTGGGCGCGTCGCTGCATTCTCATTGAACATTATAGGTAAAGTACTGTTAGTACTTCAAGATGGCCGCACAATCATTGTGAGCCCATTAACTTGGTGGGCGTGTCGGCTGTAACATGATATCCATGTTTATATCTAGGGAACGCTGTCTGGATTTGATCAGCGTTCGAATGTCGTCTTGTCGAATTCCACTGAACGGATATACAGTGCAGATGAGTCAGTGGAAGAGGTCCCTCTCGGGTTGTATCTGGTGAAAGGTGATATGATGTAGGTTTTCTTTCCTTCTCTCCCAATTTTCTCCCTGCCACGGCTAAGTTTTGCCGGGCATTCCCTGACCTCTCATCTATCAAGTTATGTCATTGACGTGTGGCCCTCAGTCACTGCACTGACAATGATTAATGTTTTCAGCATGTTGATAGGAGAAGTTGATGCAGAGAAGGAAGCATCCATAGACCTTTCAGCAATACGAGCGGATCCAATACTGCCAATACGCCATGGATGAGCTCAGCCGTCCCTCTGTCTAGCGCCAGCGATGAAAACATAATTCCAGCTTAACTTATTCAATTTCATGGGCTTGTAATTATGACATCCACCGAAGAGTCCACCATCTCGAATTTGCTTTATGCTTTGCAAGATCTTCCCGGCTCAATCTTCCGATGACCATTGTTCCAAGCCAATCAGGCTCTACCTGACCTTCCTCTTTGGCCAATCCTGCCTCCTCAGCTAGGGAAAAGAAAGACGAGCAGGTAGCTTCAGAGGTATAGATGCCGGCACCAACATAGGCTACTGAAGATGGATGTCGCCGAAGAAGCAACGTCAACGATTCAATCAAGTCCCGATGGGATGAATCGAAATACAGAAGGTCCGATAGAATCATGGCGTCGTAGCCCTTGCCCTGTTGATTGGGATTTAAACGTCTTGCCTCTTTCCTATAAACATGTCACCCTAAATTACGGAGCCCATCAAATGCAACATGAGTCGCACTCACAGGAGTGGCTCAGGGTCTTCCCCCCATATGTAGGGAAGGCAAGATACCTTACAAGATCCGGAACGCAGGTTCGCATTTCTTCGGACGTTGTTCTGCAGATTCATGAATATTGACGGATCTGGGTGGTCTGTAATTGTTACCAGTGAAGGAGCAGCCGGAATTACGCTTAAAAGGAGGGATGGCAGAGCTGCCCCTGCCCCTAGCTCGAGTACTGCAAGGACGTTTAGCTTTTAATGCTCCGTGGATGTGAAGGCGAATAAATGATGTACTCACCAGTTAATCCCTCGAGAACAATGCGTTTCCGCTCAATAAGTTCCCCGAACACCAAGGAGGGAGAAAAGAACTGGTCTGCCAGCAGAGTGTTTGCCTATGAGGGTGAGGCCCTGAGATCGGTGGGGGACACGCGTACGATATAGTTTAAAGTAAGATCACCTTCCCTAGCTTGAACCAGGGTGAGAATCGACGAACGAGAAAAGGGGGATTTCAATCACCTTTGATGCGACACTTAGTTTCAATGGACCATATGACAGGGAGTTGTCGCTGGGAACAGCCTCGACACCCAGCAGGCTAAGGGACTCCGCCAGATAATCTTCCGGGTCTTGAGACCCTGGGGTACTCGAGCGTGATCCCAACTCCTTGTCGCTCATTGTGAGAGGCTTAGCGGCTTTGGCCTTTTCTCAATGGGTGGCAAACAGCTCGGATCCGGCAAGCTGAGGAATGGGACGGTGTGACAGACCGATCGATCCAACTGTCACATCTGCGAGGATGGCACGCTGAGCATCCAGACTCAATCGTACTGGCACACTCTACTTAAGCGATTTGTGTAAGACTCTGTACCACCTCGTTGGTCCCCATGGAACCGAAAGACCAGGGATATAAAGTTCGAAATACAAAGCATCCCTCTACGTTGCTTCCCAGGGGCTCTCAAATCTTCATAGTCGAAGGGAATGAATTTTTGGTACGAGAACCTATCAAGCCCTACTAATCCATTTCAACGCCTTAATAATACTTGACGTGTTCCTCGTTCAGGTACCCAGAGCCCTTCTTGCTCACATCAGCGAAGTCTTCAGGGGTATAGACTCTACTGAGGACTCCGATGAACCCATCATGCTGGATGATAGCGCCGAAGCATTCCGTGATTTTGTGGATGTTTTGTTCGAGTGGGTAATCATTTGCGAAGATCTCATGCCGATATACTCATATCTGTGACAAGCCCTTTCACTTCTTGTCTGGTTCAAGAAAACCCCGACCTAAGGCAACTTCTTCACGTATTGCAGGTCGCGCACAAATATTGTGCCAATGACATTGAGGAACGTGCCCGCAAAATTGTTTCAAGGATGACGCAAGACATGATCCGTCTTCACTTGGGACCAAATCTTTCTGCTCTTGATGTCTTTCGTATCGCGAGCAAGGCTTGCTGCCCGGCTATTGCAGAGGACGCTTGGGATATCGTGCTGGAATCTTACAAGAAACACAAAGTCGACAGCAAATCGCTCCTCGATGAGGGATTACATTCGGGATTCGAAAAGTTTCTGCTTTCTGCCTATTATAATATCATGATTCAGGGACCCACACATTGGGAGAAGGATACAGCTCTAACATCCGATGTGAAAAACACACTTGCTTTTGGAACCCTAAGGTGCATGGGAGACTGGGAGGCTTTAATGGCGCGACTCGCTTCGGGAAAACTGGATATACCCCTTCCCACGAACGTCGAGCCAGAACGGGAGTCCGTCTCGATCTCACCTTCACCGTTCTGCGACTACCACTTCACTGGCGGGTATTACTCCGAGATCGCCTTCATAGCACAGGTTTATTCCTACTACGGAGTTTCGCCGTACGACGTGGTGGGAAAGTTGCATGCCTGTACGCGGATACCTACCGGCCCTGCAAGGGTGGGGCGTGGCCCCAGGCCCCAGTGTCAACTTTGTTGGGCCGTCGTGCTTCATCATGTCAAAAGGACTTTTGCGCATGTGAATTCACGAATCCCTGTGCATTTTGGCCTCACAGGCATCAAGTCGGCCTCTGACGTGCCCCTGTAATCATATTAGCACCTGCCTCATAATATCTCAACCCTCCACGGAGGCCATTTTCTTGTGTGCTAGCGTGTTCTCTCTGTTTGGTTATGTCCTGGAATGCTCCCGGGTTTTGTATTTCTCGTAATGCTCGATGAACGTGCTAATCTTCCCCCCTTCCAAGACCGTTGAACGATGCCAGGAAAATCGAAGTTGACTCATTTCCCTTCTCTGTTTTCTGAACGACAACGCCCGGAGCACATTACAGTCTCCAATTCTCCCTGTTCCCGACATCCAAGTTACCACACCAGGCGATGGAATGATTCACAGGGATCACGATGGTCTCGTCTCGGGGGCACACACTGCGGCAGCGTCAACCCTTCTGCCTTCCAGTGGTACTTCTCAGCATTCATACCAATGGAGGTCTTTTCGACACAGTACACCCGGGCTATTCCGGAGAAGGTTGATCCCGATTAACCAGACATATCCTATCCTGGACAGCCCCTGTCAACTATATCCCTCCTGCGACCGATAATATGGCGATTATCCGCGACAGCATCGTAAGCACCCGCATGAAACAAAACTCGCCGATGTCGATTCATTTACCCTGGCTATTTCACCGTTGCCAGCAGCAGGCACCCCCAGCTAAAGAAAATGACCATCACCAGCACCAATTTCCTTCTCCAAATTGCCGCCACCGCTCTCAAGTTTTCTCCCATCCCCAATCTTGTCCAGATCCCAAACACGCTTTTGGCATGGATTCGTGTCTATGAGGCGTGAATCGTCTTGATCTTCACGTTGATCGTGATCGTGTCTCACGCTTGTAGCGCATGCGGCGCCAACGTCGATGATCTCAATGTTGTGCGCTGTCATTCAGCATGTACGGGATTCGGTGCTCCTCTCCAGGAGCGGGCCGGATAGAGACTCTTCGTGAGCTCGTAAACCTAGTACAGGGATTTTGCGTCTCCCATCTCCTTCCAATTTCTCATCAACTATTCTGGTAGGGCTTTGGAAAACCAAGTGAAGGAGATTGAATCAGTCGAGCGTAAAAATGTCGCGAAGAAGACAGCCAAGTAGCCGATCCAGCACAACAAATAAGCAGCCAGATTTTGGGTATGCATTGAGTGTATGAATAAATACGCTCCATGATGAAGTTCGGAAGAGATGTCCGATAAACAAATCCATCAGCCTAGCCTAATCGGTCCGACCAACATGGGCCGGCGCAGAATGCTGATTACGGGACAGGAAAACAACGGCCAAGGGCGAGCCGGTGCAGCAATACAAAGAGAGCACAATTAAAATACCAAGTAAAAATAAAAAGTCAAAGGCGGAGTTGGGGAAGGTGGAGGGTAGATGAAAGCGGAAAAGCAGCGTAAGCGGGTGGAACAGGAGCTGAGGACGAATAATTCATAAGTCAAGTAAACAAGGGGTTAAAAATAAACATACAGAGAACAGCAACAAGTGGAAGGGAAAGGAATAACCACGCGATAACCAGAGGTAACTGGCAAGCGAGCGTAAGTTAGGAGCCCTGCTGCGCTGGGGGAAACATACCAGTGACACCGAGTATAAGCGCGAAGGCAAGCGAGCGGGGGGAGTAGTCTCCAAATATGCACACAGACACTGACATTGAATTGTTGAATGTTCGGTGTGGCATATGGAGGACTAAGCTGCTCAGGATCCGATAGATGGGCAAGCAAACCCTAAAACACAGACCTGAAAATGATGGATAGCAATCGTTCAGGCAGTCCTTAGGCCCTGTTTCTGAAGAAGGCTGCACCTAACGTGGATTTGCCTCGTGTTCATTGCATGGGCGCTTATGTAACATTGAGCTAGCTAAATGACAGAAGATCCTTCCCTCGAGTCAGGCGATGGAGCATCGGGGGTGAAATGCACAATCTGATAAAAGTCAGGGCGCGCCTCACAGATGCAACTGTTGAGCAATCGGACTGTTTTCCGGGCGTTGACTCAATGGGTTATTCAGTGGGCGACTGTAAATTCGCACCCAATGGTATCCGCGTTGCAGCCATTCTACTTGAGGCAAGGTCTTATACGAATACGGAGCCCGCTGCATAATTACATTTAGAGGTGATTCGACGAGTCATCGGAGCATCCCAAATACGTTTCCCCGCTTCAAACACTTGTCCAATAGCTCGGATGTGTGTCTGTCGATCCAGGAAAGGGCTGGGGGTCAACACATGTAACGAAGGGGCACTCACGCACATCCTGTGTGCTAGAGCTAAAGCGAGAAACCACCAGGAGTCCATGGTAGGGATGAAGAAAGACAGGATTTTGGTGGAATCGCAGACTGAGTGCGAAACGAGGGTGAGCGATGACACCCTACGACACCAACTAGGGGATATACAGGAGGAAAGCATCCGATTATGGGCCCCAGCTGAAGAGGTTTCCAAGAGACGCCGAGGAGTGCACCAAGCAGGAAGTAGAAGACAAAGTAAACCCCCAAATTTATGCAGTGCACAGTGAACAAAAGACATGCTGGAAGATCAAGCGAGCCAACGCGACGAATGTTCGTAGTATTCCAAGGCAGAAATGCATGAGCAAGCCGGGCTCAGCCTTATCAGTTAACCGCGTTAGACCTTGTTGACTGGAGTTGTTCATCAAATGACCGGTACTGCAGATCTTCAAAGGGTTTAAGCAGTGCGCGGGGGTTGAACAATTCAATCAAAAACTCCCATGTTTGCGACGGTTGATTCCCGCGAGTTCAATGACTTTTATTACCGCGGTCCTCCGGCTAAATGCTTCCCCGAGTCTCAGAATACGTGTGTGTGGCCACACTCTGGCTAGGAGTGCATGCTGATCATGCCCGAACCGCGATTTGAGCGATGAGAGGTCTGGGGAGTTCGTGGACTCCGAGCGAGGACAACTCCACCTCATCTAACTAGAAATCTACCATTGAACCAACTGATCGGAGGTGTTAGTGCCTCAGGGTTATAATAGGCTAGCTTGATCGAGGGCACATCGACGTTTTCTTGGCATGTTTACTTAGATTGTATTAGCAACTGCCTTCACGCGTAATCCCTAACTCCAACATGTATCAAACTGAATGAAGACCTAATAACCCGCCGCTAGATCTCCCCGCCGCACCCTAAATAGCACCGGTTACACGAATCCCACGATGGTATGTAATGATTGCTACAAGACCAATGATGACACTGCCAGTATTAATTGCCTAATCAACTCGGCTATTATCGTTTGAAGCCCACCCCATACATCCCCATGCCTGCCACCAACAGTCCTTATGTTTCAATTTTCAATACTGTGCGCGGGCCACGATATAACGATATTAGGGTTACAACATACCAGGTGTAGGGATGTACTTAAGGTTAATATTGAATGGGGAACCGGCCTACCTAAAGTGAACACTAAAACAGTTGACCGTAGGGAATAATGTCAGGTATTGGCGGGACAGTATTCATCGGTGGCAATCGTAAGTCTGCGCTCTCATGGAATGAACTCCACAAGAGGTTGCCTTCAGTGCTGGGAAACTATCCTTGTCCAAGCCTGTAGTCAACATCTAACGGAATGGCCTACCAAAACTCTCACCCCGGTCCAAATTTTTCCAATACAACCTTCATGTCGCCCGGAACCATCACCAAGCGCTCGTCCAAGATCTTGACCTCCGGCGGCAGAGTCCTACCCAGACGATGATCGCGGAGAGCCTGTAGTAAAACCTGTCAGTAATCGACGAGAAGACTTACTGACACTTAGTCATACCGTGTTTATATTCCGCACTAGGGCAGGCGTGTCGGTGTAGCGAAACAGCGCGCTGGAGTTACTGAAAAAGGGATGGCGGGGGTACGGCCGCTTTTCGCACGGACGGGGGCGTGATTAGACCCATCTCGGTACCGACGGAAGGAGAGCCAGTGCCTGTCAAAGCGGGACTGCACCTCAGCCTCGTTAGGGCGTCCTTGACCCACTCTTCCACGGTTGGAAGGTGACGCTCTCCATTATACATAAGGTACTGGACACGGCCCGAGAGAAACACCTGTGAACCCCCGGAACGCATGGAGCGTTCGCTCTCGAGTGCCGCCGCGTAGACGAATCCCTGCGTATTAGCTTCGTTGTGGAGGTCCAAAGAGTCATTGGAATTAGCGACACAAGCGCCGAATAGGAGGACACGAAACGCAGAGGCATCCTGCATGGCAGCAACGCGTCTGCCAACTTCAATACCAGCGCGATATTGGTTGAGTGACGAGCGGATTGGGCAGCAGCTTCAAGGCAGGAATAGTTTGCACACATGGGGCATGCGTACCACTGCGTGACAGTGAGGCTTTTATGAACCCAAAGGGAAAATTAGATATCTTATGCGCCTGGATTATAGCCCAATTAATTAAAGGGGTACGCCTCCTGGCTCTTCTCCCTGGGCTTAGTTCCGCGTTGGTCCTAGCGCCCGCATACACGACGGAGGCGGGAGCTTGTTATTGGCATCAAGGTAAGGGTGCGGAAATGACGCAACATGCATCGATTGCACAGATGAAAGGTTTAATCGTATTCGCTGCGTGGAGACCAGTCGAAGTTCGTAATCGTAATCGGAAGGTTTCGTGCGCTTGACTGTGTCAGATGTATGTACGTACAACTTGAATGTCGCGGCCCGCGAGATTCTTCTTATGTAATTGTTGGACAATGTCTCATGCAACGTCGGGCGACCCATTTCTCCCTGCGTTCCGTTCTCAATTCTTCCGCCTCGTTCATTCCTTTCTTTTGCTCAGTCGTCTATTACGTCTGTTCCTCCACAACCCACTCCTCAGTCCTACCTCGTCGAGGAGCAAGGAATGCTTGTTGCGAAAGAGTGAGGGGTTTTACAATATAGGAGATTGCTCGTGGGTAGGCAGCGTTGGGCGGGAGGGGGAAGGAGCCATCTGGCGCAGAATCGTTGGCGGGGGAAGTTGGGGGGAGCGGCTGCTTTCATCCTGTTTTCTCTTGGTATCACGCCGTCAGTCGTTAATAGGAAAATTGTTAGATTTGGGAGTAGGGGATACTGGTGTCTGACGTGCGAGGAGGTTAATGAAATGACTAAGAGCTGGCCGCTCTGCGATGCACAATGCTGAGCTATATGTAAAACTTCTCTTCTTTTCGGTTCGCTGTAATGCAGTCACGTTTGACTTCCTCTTTTCGTGGCCATGGCTCCATTCGCGCAATAGCTTCGCTTGAAGTCTGGACTCGGTGGATTGTCGCTCCTTAGCCTGTGGGCGACAAAATACGGCTAAAACGAACTTGTGCGGGGGATGAAAAATAACTCGCTGCCTCACTAGCCGATCGTTCCCTGTCGTTTCGCTTGTTTGGGTGTTCCAAGGACCTAGGCCGGAAATACTCTTCCCTCAGAAGGGTGATTTCTGTCGTTCTCGTCCAAAGTGCCTCGTTCGAGAGTCGAGAGCGGGGACTGATTTGCTTGTGATTGGCCTAGATGCTGATAGCTCGTTGACAAGCACCATGATTCTGGGACGCTCCAGCACGTACGGTAGTGGATTTCTCATTCGACGCCGGTAATTCCGCAGTGTCTACCCCTCCTCCATGCGCATTCCCTTCTCGCGACGAAGACGAGGATGCTATCCATGTGTTGAGAACTTGACACGATTACCTTGCAAGGTCTCACAATTCGTGGGAACTTTCTTTTTCGTACCCCTCCTACCCTTTGTTGCTCAAAGGCAAGGTCAAGGCTGCGCAGCAGCCATTTATAGTACCAGAACGAAAGCGCAAAACTGAACACAATGAAAAACGCATTACAAAGAGTAACACCCACTGGACAGCGAACACCGGGCTGGGATATTGTGCAACCACGTGGTGCAATGGCGTTGTCGCGCGATCCCCAATTCCATGGCCGTCGTTATGCATATCGATATCCGTCATCACTTTATGTTAATATGTAGAGAGAGATCTTTCCATCCCGGTGAGTGCCACATAACAACACGTCTCTAATTTGGTTCTAGTCTTATTAATATTTCACTTGGTGGTTGCTGAATTGCGGGTCGGTTGTTGAAGGAGAGCAGATGACTAAGCGATTTATTTTGGCAGCGTGGGAAATCAATTATACCCCGAAAGAGGCAACTGGCAAAACAAACCCACTCGAAGTACCTTTTCAGCAAACCCGACATCCAGCAACTCCCTTGTTCCCGATCGTCAAATTTCAAAACCGCATGAATGAAGTACAGAAGTGCATATTCACCTTGATGGTGTGCGTGTGAGCAGGATTTTAAATCATGAAGGCCACCTATGGTTGCGTACCGGGTGTAACAATCGGACTGAGCCAAGCACTCGTTCTTTGCGATCGTGCATATTAAAGCTGAGGTACAAGCTTCCTCCGCCCATCTCTTCATATGGACATCAAATATTTAATTTCATGCATATTAAATCCTCATTGAAGCAATCTCCTTGATATTAATAACTGGTGATCGCCGCCTGACGCAGGAACAGAAGAATAAAAGGGAGGACCATTCATCATAGACGTTTCCTAGATGATGAAGTCAATGTCAAAATATCCTGGCCCCAGGGAATTGAGAATCGTCAATACCATCATAGTTACTCATCCCCCCCATCTAACAACACGGTATACATAATTCCCATGGTTGTCACGTCTGGCACCGTAAACCCATATCCTAGTTCCAGAGAACTCAAAAGTCGCAATTGCCCCCGGTGTAAAGAATGTCACAGCAGTCCCATTTCTTGACGGAAGGATCGTCAGCTGCATATACGAGTCTCCAGCACGCCGACGCGATGGAGTTCATAATGGACGAGAGACGTTGGATTGTATGGGTATACGGAAGAATAAAGGCACAATTTGGGGACCCTAAGTTATGGAGCAATTTGCAATAATAGAGGGCTCCATCATTTTTTGCATTCGATTCGGGACCGAAAAATTTGTAAGACCCCCTAGTAGCGGAATTATTTGTCTCTTAGCCCAGATCACCCTGGTATTATTGACAAATGTGCTACTGCTGCCATGCAGGATGCCTTCTGCGTTTAATCTTATTCAATCCTTATTAATTCCAATGAATCTTTGGACCTCCTTAAATTGATACGCGGGCGTTCGTCTACGCGGCGGCATTCAAGAGCGAACGCACCATGCATTCCGGAGGTTTATGGGTGTTCTTTTCGGGGTGTGTCCAGTATCTTATGTATAATATTACTTTCCAACCGTGGAAGAATGGTTAGGCAGGATCTCCACTGTTTCTCTCCCATTTGTTCCTCAAGGAAGAAACAGGCAAATTGAAGAAACCTGTTTCTTCAACCCGAACGAAACCTTTTATTTCCCATAAGCCCGGGGTTTCTCTTTCATATAGCCATTGCACTTCACTTTCGCCGATGATGGTTGCATGTACATCATGTGCTGTTCACAGGAACCGGTACTATTTGATCATCGAGTTGTTTTCTTGGGGTTGTGGCTAGCTGGTCATTTAGGGGGTCATGTTCAGAGATTTGATCGGTCAACGAGGTCTAGCTTTTCAGTTATGACCTTAGCTGTATTGTAGCGGAGTTGTCCGAATTTATTGTTATATTGTTATATGTAGAGTAAATTCTGACTATCGTGAGAAACTTATCCCGGTTTACATCTCAACCATCACCAAGTAGACTATTCTGACTACGATGCCCAATACCCCAACGCGTCCCCCGAGCAACGAGTGTCAACATTTTTCAGGGAAGACTATAACTGGCTAGGTCTCCCTTTTCTCCTCAGTCCCTCAAGCACTTGCGCTCGAGACTAAGGTTAGTAGTAGTCGCCACTCACACCATATATGCACTCCCCGCTAATAAAAACAGTTTCTGAAAAGTTGCAATGCGATTCTGGAGTGCCTTCACCCCACTTGCTCTGCTTCCAATCGTCGCGGCTGATTTCTACGTGGCCCAAATGAATTGCAGTCAGCTAAACACGGGTAATGTTACGGGCAACACTGATCGGGCTGGAATTCTTTTCACGCTGGGGCAAATAGGTGAACCAAACCAAAAATGAAATTTGCCTTCATTCTCAACTTATGTTTGCCCAATAGAGGATTGCCTTGTTTTCGGGGGCGCGCTGGATGATAGCCTTCAATACAATTCCACAGCGATGATGACCAGCAAAGTTTGCGGATATTACGTCACAGTGGATGTCGCAAACAACGCGTGGAGTTCCCCCTCGTTCGGAAAGACTGGACGTTGCCAACCCTACGACCACCTCATAGGTAAATGCATCCCTTGGACGGACAGACTGTGCATTTTTTGGATGAAGATGGTTTGCAGTGGTGGGCCCATCTGCTAGTAGCACCAGGATCTGGTGGAGTAGCGACCCCATGCCCGAGGCTGGAGTCATACCAAGTAGAACTTACAATGTGCGCGAATACATCTACGTTCAGAAGCCGGGTCAACAGAAAGGGCACGATGAAGGTAAAAGAGAGACAAGCAATGTGCCAACTCGTGCAAGCGCCAATTTGATTCACGAAGTAGGAAAATCATCTTCACAGCCTCGGAAGGGGCCCTGGTCTCCTTATTGGGAAATGCGTGTGTATGACAAGGAATCTTTTCGTGTGGACTGGAGGACCCCGGCGGGAGCGAAGAGGCCATTCTCCCCAGCACAAAAGAGGGGGAACCGTCGCATCCCCTATTTGTGACTCGTTCTGACAAGAAGTTAATTTGAAGCATGAGGGGTGAGGTGCGAAAGCTGTTCGACTAGATAGACGCGTAACGAGGATATGGCTTAAAAAATTTCATACTAAGACCGCGTGCCTGGCATAGCCTATCTATTGAGCCTCGCCTCGACTACCCTGGTAGCCCAACGCAAGAGTGATTTGGGCTAAAAGAACTATCCACTTGCCGGTAGATTTTTGCGCCAAGCGGTGTAGAGAAAGCTAAGGAGCATTCCCTGAATCCCCAGCTGAACTACTACGGGTGTCATGTACGACTGAAGCAGATTTAGATCGGTAGAAACAGAAGAAGGTCGAGGGTCCCACCAGGTTTTATCAACGCCGCAGGTACACGTACAGAGAATGGCGTGTAAATATCAAAAGCTCGCATATGGGCCAGCCAGTCGAAGCGACGGCTAGCTGTACAGAGTACACAGAGATGGCATCCGAGCCAGTTAGTGTCTCAGACCGCGCAAGAGATTTTTTCCATCATAACTCGGACACCGCAAGTGCTTGGAATGGATATCAACTGCCTTCTGCAAGTCAGTAAAAGTGGTGGAATAGAAATATTATATGTTCCTAGGTACGTAAAAACCTGAATGCCCCGATCCGAGAGCGATCAAGTGTAGAACCGTACATCAGCACACCACACCTAACTATCCTTGGATTGGAATATGCCTCTACACAGGCACAGGGGTCACTGAGCACGAGCGGCGGAAAAAATTCGGGGCTCAAGATGTAAGATTGCATTGAATATATATTGTCGGAGAGGCGTTTGTGAGAAGGGGAAATCGAGGCTGGCCCAAAATTCGAGCAAGGTAATCAATCATCAAGCCGAACGAATACTTGTGCTTAGGTCTGATGAGGGGGATGGGAGAGGCGTACTGATGTGTAAAACGACAGCTGCGTTTGAGACATGTAAGACGGAGGGAGATCGCGATTACTGCCTCGAAAGTGGAAGAGGGAGACTCGAGCGAGAAGTTAAAGGCCAATGAACGCGCAAGAATATCAAGATGATCAAAGTAATAAATATCTCACGCCATGTTAATCACCTGACTTGGGATTCGGTCGAGGAACCCCGCAAACCCTAGCGCGCGGTAGCACATGTTCCACCACACGGGGCTATCTTCCCCTGATGCTTGCCTCCATGGAGACGGTCCGGCGAGTTCAGTTGGTTGGATACGACCGGGCGAAATATTGGGACTGAGGACACTAGGGGGCCATTGTACCATTGACGAGTTGGGAGCCTCGTGTTGAAATTTTTTCTTGGTACGCTGTGGACCGACCATTGAATCTGTCGGACTATGTTTCTTGCGCACGGACATTTCCTTGTAGGATTGCCCGATGCTTCCGTTTATGGTGTCCATGTTGATGGACGTAGTCGAGGATGGCTTACATAATTAGATCAGGCGCCTGCATGCTTTACGCATGAGATAGTTTGAATGACTTCGAAGGTAAAGGAGGTTGAGCACCAGAGAATTCAATCGGAAGCTTCCATTACTCCATGGAGTACATTCCCTTGGCATATTCAATCCATTGCCGAGGTTCACATGGTTCTCTGATATCTTCAACATGGGCCGAGAAAATAGACATGTGAATGCTCCGATCATAAACAGCGTTATCGGAGATGAAGCTACAGAAGTGAAGGAAGGAAACCTCCATACTTTCCGACACGGCGTGAGTACCCATTTGTGTTGTTTACAAGTATACAGACCAAGACTGAGACAGCATCCATCGGCACTAGATTAAAAGTCTACGCCCTTGCGGAATGAACTCGACGAGATGTAACCTTCAAGTTCTGCACTGGGGAATCATTCTTGTCCATGCCTTTAGCCAACGTCGACTCGTAATATGACGTTCAGCAGAGGAATGGCTTACCAAACCTCTTGCCCCGGTCCGGATTTGGCCAATAGTACAGCCCTGTAGCCGCTTCCATCGCCAAAGATTTATCGGACTTGACTCCAACCCAAAAACTGGGTAATGAATGTATCTCTGGTAGTGTTGAAGCTGACGAGCGAATGCGGCACTGGTGCGCTGATACCGCCAAGGTCGATAAGTCGGAGGGTCAATGAGGAAGTTTGGCGGTTTGATGTCGCTGTAAACCATCACCAAGCGCTCGTCCCCGGGGGTCTTGGCGTCTAGCGGCAGGACCTTACCCGACAACGATGATCGCGGAGAGCCTGTAGTAAAAACCTGTCAGTAATCGGCGAGAAGACCTACTGACACTTAATCATACCCTGTTTACATGTCACTTCAAGTGCAGGCGCGTCGGTGTGGCGAAACGGTCGCGCTGGAGTTGCCGAAAAAGGGACAGCGGCGCCAGGCGCGGCCGCTTTTTTTTTCGCACAAACGGCGGGAACCTTATATGTGCCTTCGATTAGAGACCAGTTTTTGCACCGACTGGAGGAGAGAGTGTTCGAAGAGCCAGCCAAGGGCATCAGCAACCGCCTGAAAAGCCTTGTCGAAGCGGGACTCGCACCTCAGCCTCGTTGGGGGCATCCTTGACCAGGTTGACGCGCTCTATTATACATAAGGCTGCCGCGTAGCCGAACGCCTGCGTATCAGCTTCGTTAAGGAGGTCCCACAAAGTCATTGAATAATTTAACGACACAATCGTTGAATATGAGGACACGAAACTTGAGGCATCCTACGTTTGAACGGCAGCAGCGCACCTGCCAACAATACCAGCGTGATATTGGGCTGAGGGACGGGGAGATTGGACAGCAGCTTCAAGGCAGGAATAGTTTATTATGTCAACGTAACCACTGCGTGACAGTAAGATTTCTATGAGGCACAAAGGGAAAATTAAATGAGGGGTTCAGGCGCTGGGGAATTAAATATTTTATGCGCTTAAATTATAAATAGATAAGCGCTAGCTTGGCACTTTAGAGTTCAAACTATAATTAATTATCTACCAGCCTTTTCGTTCTCAATTTCTTTTCTTTTTCCTTTTCTCAGTCGTCTACACCGTAATCTGTTCCTCCGCAACCCACTCCTTAGCCTACCTCATCGAGGAGCAAGGAATGCTCGTTGCAAAGGAGTGAGAATTTTTGCAAGATAGGAGATCGCTCATGGGTAGGCAGCGTTGGACGGGAGGGGGGAAGGGGCCATCTGGCGCAGAATCGTTGGGGGTGGGGAAGTTGGGGGGGAGCGGCTGCTTTCCACAGTGGGAAGTAAATCGCAGTAAAAAACATTGGGAAACCCGGGTGAAAATCACGGTGTTTTACGGTGGAACACCCCGGTATTATGCCTGGGTTCCGGGTAAAATACTCGGAATACATGCGCCGTTTAAAACCTGGATTCCCCTTAGTAAAACTTGCCGAATACCGGGGTTCCCCAAACACGATCCGCTGAGGATTTACCTGTGGCCGCAAGGTATTGTACCAAGGGTTTTCCAGGTGTCGCGACATGTTACTCTCCACGTAATTTACAATGGAATACTTATACCGTGCGCGCAGCAGTATTGTACTTAGATTAACCACGGTATCATACTAGGCTTTTCCTTGGTTTCTTACTTTGGACATCATTGTATTCAGCGTGTTAGGAACATATTGTATTTACTTACGCCAATACAGGAAGGCTATACAGCATGGTGCAAGCGGAGAAAGTGTGCAAAACGGGATGAATATTTCATGACACACCGTGATTCCCAGCAACACACCCAACAAGTGAAGGTCCGAGAAGCGAAAAGTACCTGTACGACAAGAAGTATGAGACAAGGCCGTGGTATTTCACCAGAATGGACACCGTAGTACCCCAGGGGCTTTGCCACTGATCGGTACATGAACAAGGAGCACACATACCTATCTATCGATCGCACGACAATCCACCACCCGATGGGGATAATTCTGGTGGCCTATCTCTCAGGTAAACCTGAAGCATAATCTAGTGCATGTGGCAGCTCGTGGAGTGCAGCCGATCGCAAATGAAAGAGGGTGGGTGGCAGCGGAAGCGACTCGAGTGAGTGAAAACACGCATTTTAGAGTCTGGCCATATGTACACGCCTTCTCACATAGGGTGTCACTCATCTCCCTGTTCGATGGGCATTTCAGACGTGTGTAGTGTATGGTGCAGTAGGAAGCGCTGCTGGGATGTGGTGGAAGAAAAGCAAAGTCCTAAGTCTCCACTCGGGACAAACAAAAATAAATGAAAGCCGCCAAGATGTTTGGCCGCACCAAACAACCCCCTCCCCGATAGGCCCCATAGATACCCCCCTGCGGTTGTCATATATGCACTTGAAGGGATAGAATCTCCCTACCTGGTTGTGCCGTCCATTAGAGCGCCGAGCGTTTAAATTGTCGATCTTAATGCTGCCATCAGGAGATTGAACATGGAGCATCCAGCCATTATTGATCGCAGTATTATTTAGTGATTAAAGCATGTATATTACAATAATGCCGTCTCCGTATTTGATTGCGGTGTATCATTATCCATACTCAACACGAAACCATGGTTTCCCTGAGTAAAACACCAATGGTGTGGAATCTGGGCACAACAACCCAGGTTTTTTGCCAACTAGGTTTTTTCCATGGGGCAAAATGCCATAGGTAAAATACCGTGATTTAGAAAAAAACCTACCGCGATTTACTTCCCACTGTGTTTCATCGTTTTAAGGCTCTTTTCTTGGTGTCACGCTGTTAGAAAATCTGCTGTATTTGGGAGTAGGGGATACCGGTGTCTGACGTGCGAGGAGGTCAATGAAATGACTAAGAGCTGACCGCTCTGCGATGCACAATGCTGAGCTATATGTTAAACTCCTCTTCTTTTCGGTTCGCTGTAATACAGTCACGCACGTTTGACTTCCTCTTCCATTTCGTGGCCATGGCTCCATTCGCGCAATAGCTTCGCTTGCAGTCTGGACTCGATGGATTGTCGCTCCTTAGCCTGTGAGCGACAAAATGCGGCTAAAACGAACTTATGCGGGGGATGAAAAATAACTCGCTGCCTCACTAGCCGATCCTTCCCTATTCGTTTCGCTTGTTTGGGTGTTCCAAGGACCTGGGCCGGAAATAATCTTCTCTTTACTCCGTTTTCCGGAACAGGGAAGAAAGATTCAACAGAGGGATCTTGGTGCTGAAGTCCTCTTAGAAGGGTGATTGCTGCCGTTCTCGTCCAAAGGGCCTCGTTCGAGAGTCGGGAGCGAGGACTGATTCGCTTGTGATTGACCTAGGTGTTGATGGCTCGTTGACAGCGCCACCACGATTTCTGGGACGCACCAGCAGGTACGGTAGTGGATTTCGATTTCTCATTCGATGCCGGTGAATCCGCAGTGTCTACCCCTCCTCCATGCGCATTCCCTTCTCGCGACGAAGACGAGGATGCTATCCATGTGTTGAGAACTTGACACGATTACCTTGCTTGCAAGGTCTCTTCAATCCTCACAATTCGTGGGAACTTTCTTTTTCGCACCTCCTAAATTGTTCCCACCCTTTGTCGGTGTCAAGCAGCCATTTCTAGTACCAAAACAAAAGCGCAAAAACAATGAAAAACGCATTATAAAGAGTAACACCCACTGGACAGCTAACGCCGGCCACGCCGGGATATTGTGCAACCACGTGGTGCAATGGCGTTGTCGCGCGATCCCCAATTCCATGGCCGTCGTTAAGCATATCGATATCCATCATCACTTTATATGCAGAGAGATCTTTCCATCCCGGTGAGTGCCACATAACAACACTTGGTTCTAGTCTCATCAATATTCCACTTGATGGATACTGAATTGCGGGTCTGGTGTTATGTAAAAGGGACCAGTTGTGTACGCACAGTTATGACTTAGCGATTGATTTTGGCAGCGTGGAAAATCACGTGCTACGAATTGTACCCCGAAAGAGGCAAATGCCAACACAAACCCTCTTTTCAGCAAACCCGACATCCAGCAGCTCCCTTGTTCCTGATTGTCAAATTTCAAAACTGCATGAATGAAGTACATATTCACCTTGATGGTGTGCGTGTGAGCAGGATTTTAAATCATGAAGGCCACCTATGGGTGCGTACCAGGTGTAACAATCGGACTGAGTCAAGCACTCGTTCTTTGCGATCATGCATCACCCATAGTAAAGCTGCGGTACAAGCTTCCTCCCATCTCTTCATATGGACATCAAATATTTAATTTCATGCATATTAAATCCTCATTAAAGCAATCTCCTTGATACTAATAACTGGTGATCGCCACCTGACACGGCAGAACCCATCACTCTTTTCGCTCGATACGACATGTATTTGGACGAGTACAAAGAGAGGATAAAAAAAGAGAAACGGAAACGGAAGAATAAAAGGGAGGACCATCCATTATAGACGTTTCCCAGATGATGAAGTCAATGTCAAAATAGCCTGGCCCCAGGGAATCGAGGATCGTTAATATCATCAGAGATGCTCATCCCCCCCATCTAACGACACAGTATAATTCCCATGGTTGTCACGTCTGGCACCGTAATCCCATATCCCAGTTCCAGAGAACTCAAAAGTCGCAATTGCTCCCGGTGTGGAGGATATCACAGCAGTCCCATTTCTATGATAATTGAAGGAAGGATCGTCAGCTGCGTATACAAGTCTCCAGCCCGCTGACGCAATGGAGTCCATAATGGACGAGATACGTTGGATTGTATGGGTACAAAGAGAGGATTACAAAAGAGGAGCAATCTGAGGACCCTAAGTTATGAAGCAATTTGAAATAATAGAGGACTCCGTCGTTTTTTGCATTCAATTCGGGACCGAAAAATTTACAAGACCCCCTACAGAGTAGCGGGAATATTTGTATCTTAGCCCAGATCACCCTGGTATTGTTGACAGATGTGCTACTGCCACCATGCAGGATGCCTCGGTGTTTAATCTTATTCGACGCTTGTGCCATTAACTCTTTGGACCTCCTTAACAAAACACGTTCGTCTACGCAGCGGCATTCAAGAGCGAACGCACCATGCGTTCCGGAGGTTTACGGGTGTTTTTCTCAGGGTGTACCCAGTATCAAAGAAGAAACTTCTTTTTTCCACTTCCGCCAATGATCGTTGCATGTACATCATGTGCTGTTCACAGGAACCGGTACTATTACCACGTAGACTACGATGCCCAATGCTTCAACGCGTCCATCGAGCAACGGGTGTCATCATTTTGCAGGGAAGATTATATTTTTCCACTTTCCAAATATTCGTTGGATAAGGGGAGCTTCTTATATAACTGGCTAGGTCTCCCTTCCTTTTCTCCTCAATCCCTCAAACACTTGCGTTCGAGACTAAGGTTAGTAGTAGTCGCCACTCACGCCATATCCACTCCCCGCTAATAAAAGCAGTTTCTGAAAAGTTGCAATGCGATTCTGGAGTGCCTTCGCCCCACTTGCTCTGCTTCCAATCGTCGCGGCTGATTTTTTCGCGGGCGACATTGCTTGCACTCCACCACAGCCGCCTAATGCTACGGACATAACTGGAACGACTGGGATTTTGTTCACGGAAGGGCAACTAAGTGAATCAAACCAAAAATGAAATTTGCCCTCGTTCTTAACCTATGTTTGCCCAACAGAGGATTGCGTTGCTCTCGTGAACGCGATGGATCCGAACATTACACCATACGGTCCCACAGCGATAATGAAGGGCACTATTTGCCAAAATATAGCAGTCACAGTGGATGTCGCAAAGATGGCGTGGAGTTCCGCCCAGCCCGGAGTGGGTGGAAGTTGCAAGACCTACAGCCACGTGGTAGACACATGCGTTGCAACGCAGGGCGCAAAGTTCAACCAATCGTGCACTTATAGTATGGAGATGGTTTGCCTTGGCGGGCCCGTCTGCTAGTAGCACCAGGATCTGGTGGAGTAGCGACCCCATGCCCGAGGCTGGAGTCCTACCAAGTAGAAATTACAGTGTGCGCGAATACATTTACGTTCAAAAGCCGGGTCAACAGAAAGGGAGCGATCAAGGCAAAAGAGAAACAAGCGACATGCCAACTCGTGCAAGCGCCAATTTGATTCATGGAGTAGGAAAATCATCTTCAAAGCCTGGAACGGGCCTTGGTCTCCTTATTGGGACCAATAGTTCCGATGTCGCAAATGTGTGTGTATGATGAGAATTTTTTTCGTATGGACTGGAAGACCCCCTCCCCAGAACACAAGAGGGGGAATCGTTGCCCCCCCATTTGTGACACGCTCTGACAAGAGGATAATTTGAAGCATGAAGAGGGGCGAGGTGCGAAAGCTGTTCGACTAGATAGACGCATAGCAAGGAAATGGCTTAGAAATTTTCATACTAAGACCGCGTGCCTGGCATAGTGTATTTATTGAGCCTCGCCTCGACTACCTTCGTAGCTCAACGCAATAGTGAGTTGGATTAAAAGAACTATCCACCCCGCCGGTGGATTTTTGCGCCAAGCGGTATAGGGTGTCCCCATAGTGTTGAATTCCCCAGCCGAGTGCCATGTACGACTGGAGCAAAGTCTGGATTTAGATCGGTAGAAACAGAGGAAGGGTAACTCGGGCAGTGTTTGAGGGTCCCACCAGGTTTTATCAACGCCGCAGTTACACGTACAGAGAAACAGAGAATGGTGTGTAAATATCAAAAGCTCGCATGTGGGCCGGCCAGTCGAAGCGACGGCTGGCTGTACAGAGTACACAGAAATGACCCCCCCATCCGAGCCAGTTGGTATCTCGGAGCGCGTAAGAGTTTTTTTTTCCATCATAGCTCGGACACCGCAAGTGCCTGGAATGGATATCAAATGCCTTCTGCAAGTCAGTAAAAAGTGGTGGAATAGAAATATTGTATGTTTCTAGGTACGGGAAAACCTGAATGCCTTGATCCGAGAACGATCAAGAGTAGAATTTGCACATCAGCACACCATTCCTAATCATCCTTGGATTGGAACATGTCTCTACACAGGGGTCACTGAGCGGCAGAAAAGGTTCGGGGCTCAAGATGTAAGGTCTGTATGATTGCATTGAATATATACTGTCGGAGAGGCGTCTGTGAAAAGGGGAGATAGAGGCTGGCCTAAAACTCGAGCAAGGTAATCACCGAGCCAAACGAATACGTCTGATGAGAGAGATAGGAGAGGCGTACTGGTGTGCAAAACGACAGCTGCGGTTGAGACATGCAAAACAAAGGGATTCGGTTCCGTAGTGCAGCCTTGTTGGAATCCTACCAACTTATGGAACTAGATCGATCACACAGGAGGGGACGTGCGAGAAACTTGGGTGACTTGACAAGCAGGAGGGAGACTCGAGCGAGAAGCTAAAGGCTAATGAATATCAAAGTAATAAACATCTCACGCCACAAGACCCTGAATTGTTAATCACCTGGGATTCGGTCGAGGTAGCACACGGCGCTATCCCCCTGCTGCATTCATCCTTGGAGGCGGTCCGGCAGATTCAGTTGGTTGGATACGACACGGGCGAAATATTGGGACTGAGGACATTAGGGTGCCCCCAATGGAAATTGACGAGTTGGGAGCCTCGAGGGAAGCATTCCAAATTTGACCTCGCATAAAGTTGACACTGAAAGGGTACTTACGACAGTTGTGGAGACTGGAAACACGACAACTATCCGCTCGGTGGTTGACAGACCGACAATACGATACCCAATTACCATGCAAGGACAGAACCACGGGCTGTTCGTGCCCCCTAGTTCGTTCCTGAGGGGCGAAAGGACATGCGTTATTTTTGTTTTCCGTGTGTGGGGAGAGCGATAGTCAGACATTACATAAGCACTGAGATGACGTTGTTTACGCCAATTATGTAGGTCAGGCACCTGCATGCTTACAGGACCCCGGCATACTCCATTAGACACTGTGGGAAGTCCCCCATCAGATTGTACTGGGTTGTACCATCACCTAATCGAAAATGCCGGGAGTCCCTATCAGCTTTTTGGAAATGCTCAGTCGTGTATAGTACCGGGGCTACCTAGCATCTGGATTCTGACGTACATATTGATACCAAAAGACAATTTCGCACATTAACTTAGAGGATTCCAATCCCTCATTCTCATCATCGCTGAGTTCCACGTCCTCCCTTTTCAAGTCCGTCCAGGTGTGGGAAGTTCCCCGTCAGATTGTACTGGGTTTTACCATCACATTAAAATACTTATCATTTTCTTCGAAATGCGGCAGCTGCTCAGTCGAGTGGAGTACCAGGGCTACCATAGGCATGTGATTGTTGGGAGCGAGGAGACCATTGGGAAGAGTGGAAGCGCGGGGTGCTAATGTTGGTTTTGGGTTCCTTTCGTCGGTTCGGGAGTTGCCATTTACTTTGGAACTTCATCTCACCTGTCATCTCTCTTATCTCTGTGTTCCCCCACACTCATCCAATCGACGCTGGATATCCATAATATGCGCAGCCATGTTTTTCTTGGCTAGCCCTCTGTTTTCTGCATCCTAATACGTGCTTCAATGCTTACTATTGCCAATCCAGGTTGAGCGATCTTGCGCAATCAGCTCATCCGATCTTGGCGATCAAGCCTGCATTGCACCCTTTGGTGGGAGCCAAATCTGTGTCTGCTATTTTGTCTCTTCAATTCTTGAGTCCAACACTGTGGGCCCATGCTCTGTTGCACCGTGCACGCATGCCAGTGCTTCCATTCCAATATTCAGGCTTGTACAATTGGACGCGTTCCCACGCGTTTTGACGTGTTCTTCACTCATTGATGCCAAGATTTTGGGCCAACCGACATGGAAGGACACAGACCAGATGTGTTATCATGGCATTGCCCAATGCGCTGTTGCAGAGCCTGCACTGGTGCCTAACCACAAAGTGTGCCTACTACTACGCTCTTAACTTTCCTCCCCTTCCCATTTCCTTGCTAACTTTCTACTCCAGGAAACAATCAAACTTCCCAAAAGTGACCGGAATTGGAAGACAATAGCTTCCTCCACGGCTAAAAGGCAAACTCCCGTTGGTGAGGTACAAAGAGTGCTGGAACCCCGCGGGTCGGGTTTCACGGATGAGCCAACTATGTGTTCCCCACCGTTCACCCCACCATTCACCTCATCATTTACTTTGCGATCTACCTGCCATATTTACCCCACTGATTATTGTCATCCTATCTTCGAAACCGACATGCTCTTGGGACCTACGCCGGCCCCACAGACCTCGAGGGGTTATCCCTGCAAAGGTGTGTTCAAGCGCGAGGTTTAGCGCGAGGTTTTCTCTGCACCCTCAGTATAGCCTTGGGGTATTATTTTCTCCGACACTCGCAATGACAAGCGCCAGTGTATGCGTGTATTGCTATATACCAAATGAATATATTATGATTTACTATTAAAACAGGCGGGGTTACCTATCAGTAACTTCCAGGGCACCCTGTCAGTATTTCCGGGGTACCCCGTCAGGATGGCCCCGTCAGACTGCGCATATCTGATAGGAGGTCCCGGCACTCGAAATCTGATGGTTGGCCCCGTCAAATGGTAATGGGGCTACCTAGCAGGGCTGGTACTGGGGCAACCCTACACCATCTGCCGGGGTTACTTCCCACTGTGTAGAGGTCCGATCGGAAGACCTCCATTTCGGCCCTAGTCCCCTGGCCTCATTTAGGCCCTCAGACAAGTCGGACCTGCAGAAAAATGCCAGTTCGGCCCTCAAATGGATCAGACATTAAAAATTTTTTTTTCACTTGGGTGGCATGAAGCGTTACCACAATTGAGCTAGCAATGATATTCGTGCAAGAATTATCAATCTACCGTAATCCAACACGCCCTCCCACAGACCCTCCTGCAGCTTCCGGATCGCAACTTTGACATTCATCTTGAGTTTCTCATACACAATGTGTATTATCTGAATAATTAACGTCTCAATCCACAGCGAGTGGAGTATTGACGGAATCGCGTTGTGTTTTCATTCAACTTTGCCGCATTGATTGAGGGATAGAAGAACATATTCGGGCTTCAAGTGAGCGAATGCTGTGGTTGGGGGGCCATTCTGGTTGGGTACAAAGTTGGAAAAGCGACCAACATCCTGTGATGACAGAAAAATGGCGAAAATAGTCGTACGCTGAGATAGGATGGGGCCCCGATTGAGGTGACGCTTTCAGTATACTGATGTAGAAGGCTTCGGCCATTATTTCGATAAATTATCATGACTTGGTTGATTTCTTATCAGAGAGTCGCGCGATGAAGGAAAGCATGGGGCACTAACAGGAAAATTGTTTTCTTGTGAAGGATGAAAAAGACGTCGGGAGAATTATTGCTGAGGCAAAGGACAACATTCAGGTTCGGCACACCAAGATAAGGTACAGGTGGAAGTGCAGCGACAGATGTCAATGAACCTAGTTCATAGATTTTCTTTTGCAGTCCTGATGGCACTAGCGGACCAGGATACATCTTGTGTGCAAAACAAGGTTGAAGCTGGTTGAGGACGGCTGAGTTTTTTTCGACAAGCCTTGTCACCTTCATTAATTTATGCACGGCTGTCGAGTTTCGGCAGGTTTCGGCCCTCTACCAGATCAAGGCTTGATCCCAGCCTGCCCGAAAGGCCCTCAACGGGATATAACATTTTTCTGCCCAAAGCCAATTTTGGCCCTCCTCCAGGTCAGACCTCTCGTCCCGCAGACTGATTTTCGGCCCTCTCCTAGATCGGAGCTCCCTCGGTGTATGCCGGGGTCCTATGCTTACGCATGAGATGTTTGAATGACTAGCACCATCGGAAGCTTCCATTACCACATGGAGCACATTCCCTTGGCATATTCAATCCATTGCTGAGATTCACGTGCAATCTCATGGTTCTAAAATCAAATTGTGTTCGGCATGAGTGTTGTTAGCCCCTTACAGCTCGCGCCCGCAGAGTTGCTCAAATGTACGTTGCTTCAACCCTCGCTCGACTGACTGGCGATGTCTTCATGCTTAGCGAAACTCTGCACGAAAGCTCGCGCGCTTCAGCGCACAATCCCAAATAAATATAGTTCACTGGTACTTCGTAGCCACAACACTCACCCATTCACCTGCATCTGCTTTCGTCGTCCATGATGGCTTGGATAAATCGTTCTTTGTCGTTCCAGCAGGGCCCCATTTGGCGCATGAGCCACCTAAAATCTGCAGGTTAAATATCCAGAATAAACAATGACCACACAGATAAAAAAATCAAAGTAGTGAAGGATAAGGGCATTCGTTTGATCTCTCGGCTTAATGAAGACGGAATCGTATCCCGTTCATGTGTGGTGAATGGTCAGTGGTGCATGTCAAAAATGGGATCTCGGTTCACAATCACATCACGGGTATTAAATAAATGAATGAATGAATAAGCCACTCGCCTATATAGTCTAAGTCATCGTCCTTGAACAGGAGCAATAAAGATCAAGTGAGCGAGTCTCGCTCTGGGCGGTTCCTTGATCTGCCATTAGTTTATTAAGAACCTCGACTGGAAAAGTCCATTCGCCAATGTGCCTATATCAGGCTGGCTTTGTGTTATCTGCTAAAGGATGATTCTTAAGTGCAGCTCAGCGGTCCACGTCTCTTTCTCCACGACCTAAGGTCCCCCCAGGCTTGGCGCTCTCTACTCTACGGTCCCCAGCTTCCACACATTCGACCCTCCGTGACATCACCAAGTCTTCATTACGCCGCTTAAGAATACAACATGGAGCCTTTGGATATGCGTACCCTCGGCGGTAAGCTGGCGTGGATCGAGGAACTCATTGCCTGGTGCAATAAAACTCACGCTGCATTGCACAAAAGAACGAGGGTCAGCTCCACACACTCCATTACCTCGCCAAGTCATCGACCACTTCCCGCCGCGCGAGAGCGAGTTGGAGAGGAGACTTAAGGAAGTCCTGGTGAATGAACTGGACGCTACTTGTCAGTATGCTAGCCCACGTCTGATTCAGGTGCCTGAGCTGACGAAGAATCTCATCATACTGATGCGATTCACCAGTGGGTGATGATCATGCTCAAGATGAAGGCGTCAAACGCTTTAAAGAATTCCGAAGGTGTTCTTCAATCCCTAATCTTTGGCACCCTTGCTGATCTCTATGCATGTTCAACAGGAGGGTGAGAGCTCTGGATGGGGAACTCCACCGCTTCCGGAACACCATCTCCCAACTTAGCTCATCTGTTGGCCTTCTTTCCTCTGCTGAAGATCTCCGTAAAAGACTCCAGCAGCTCCTGAACTTGTTCCGCGAGAATGCAGCGGATATATTTCGCGATGTTCGTAGAGAGTTTGGAGATTTCTCTATAAGAAAGCCCCAAGCAAACACCCGTGACGTTCCAACCCGCCCTTCCCGAAAGTTTCATTCGGAAGGAGTGATGATTGGCGACCTTGAACAGATACCAAACCAGCTTCACTTGTTAGCGCAGGATTGGCGCACTTTCCTAGAAGCTCTAAACAGAATCCCGGAGTTTCGTGACGAGGTTGTCAGTCCTTCCATCCGGAGTTTCTATCATGATTTAGAATATTGGTCTTTCAGCCTGAGGGATTTTAAAGGTATTATCAGTCTGTTCGTATCATGCTGGTCACTAGAACTGGATGTTTAGATCAATTTAAATGGCCTTCTGTCCAACGTCATATTCACTTGTTGACTGGGGAGATGGCAGAACATCTGAACGATGTCACGGAAGCGTTGAAGATATTTACTGATGTTGGTGAGTTCCCAAGTGTTTTTTCAGAAACTGACTATACTCATATGCTTTTTTTTTTTTTTTCACAAGCGGTGCCAAAGATTCGCTTTTCCCAGCGCCAAGAGGCCAATCCCCTTCGCGATCTGTCAACAGTGGCCACATTGTTCTCTGCAGTTACAGCGACAACAATCCAGTTCAGCTACCTGTCTTTTACTACAAAACTAGAAAAAGCGGTGAATCTCCATCAGCAAACCTGGATGCGGAGGCCTGAGAGCTCATAGAGCTCATAGAGCTCTCAGAGCTCTCAGAGCTCTCAGAGCTTCAGTACTTTGAAATTGCAGGTTGTCAGGGTTCAGCACCCTGCCTTAGGGGTGCCCCGGACTCCCCACCTACTTTACCCCCTTTTATTCTTTGACTGTTGCCTTGTTGTTGCCTTTGTGTGTTGCGTACATGTGCGCACGGGATAGCGCAGGAACTATGTTCCCACGGGTCACAGCCACAGTTCTGGGCGAGCAACTCGCCCAGAACGTTCCCACGCTTGGCACTGCCACCTGGATGTTCCCTCCGGGTCACACTACACAACTCCAAGAGCTGTATAGTTGTGGGCATGTGACCCATTCCTTTATATAGCAACCATGCGGGGAGATGAGACCTTTACCCTTCTTCTCATCTCATGCCCCGCATAGGCAAGTGTATATATTCCCTTTCTTTTACTATACATCTCATGCCCCGCATAGTGTGAGGACAGGCCAGATGGGGGTTGAGGTCAGGGAGCCTCCGAGTCCGAGGCCGGGCCCTGACACAGGTCCCCTTCTCTGAGAGCTCATAGAGCTATATTTGCACACAGGGGACTATTATCTATATGAGCTCCCTGAGTGTTTAATTTACCCGATATTAAAATTAAAATTTAAAAGCATTGACTATGGCATCATGTGACTAGCCATAGCCAAGTCCCTACCATACAAGGGACTGAACAAACTCAGCTTCACTTTCAGCACCAATGCGGCACCAGACACCAAGGGTATGTAGCCCAATCAATATATAAGCCAAATTTAGGGATATAAATGCAGTTAATCTGAAATTACTTAGGGAAAATGCGGGAAAATGAGTGGGAAAATGAGTGGGGGGGGAATGGGGGGGAATTGGGGGGGATGAGGGAGAAAATGAGGGGAAAATTAAAGGGGGAAATGGGGGGAAAATGAGGGGGGAAATGAGGGGAAAATGGAGGGGGGGAATGGGGTGACATTTGGAGGGGGAAATGAGGAGGGAATTGGGGGGAATGAGGGAGGAAATGAGGGAGGAAATGAGGGGAAATTGAGGGGGGAAGTGGGGGGAAAATGGAGGGGGGGAATGGGGTGAAATTTGGAGGGGGGAATAAGGGGGGAATGAGGGGGGAATGAGGGGGAAAATGAGGGAGGAAATGGAGGGGGGAAATGGGGGGGGAATGAGGGGAAATTTGAAGGGGGAAGTTTGGAGGGGAGAATGGGGGGAATGGGGGGAAAATTGAGGGGGAATGGGGGGGGGAATGAGGGGAAATTTGAAGGGGGGAATTGGGAGGGAATGGGGGGGGGAATGAGGGGAAATTTGGAGGGGGGAATGGGGGAGAAATGGGGGGGAAATTGAGGTGGGAATTGGGGGGGGGAATGAGGGGGAATTTGAAGGGGGAAATTGGGAGGGGGGAATGGGGGGGGAATGAGGGGGAAATCAAAGGGGGGGATGGGGGGAAATTGAGGGGGGGGGATGAAGGGGAAAATGGGAGGAAACTGAGGGGGAACTGGGGGGTTTCTAAAAACTTGAAAAAAAATCAGGGAAAATTAAGGAAAATTCAGAAAATGGGGGACTTTCTAAAAAAGGAGAATGTCCAAAAAATCAGGGGAAAAATCAGAAATTTTGGGATAAGTTAGGGAGAGATATTTCAGGAAATTAGGAATAATTGGAAAAAAAAAATTAATTCACTTTTTTGATAATTCAATGTGCATTGGAAAGTGCCAAAGTGGGGCAATGTAGCAATGTATGTTTCAGTGTTAGAAAAGTCTCCCACCATGTTTTGGTGAGTGTCAGGGCACAGCCCCTCACTATTCCACAATCCCGCATGCATGCAGACCCATGGGAAAGTTCTGGGTTACTCACCCAGAAACCATCACAGCCACAACTGTGGGAACTTTCTGGGTGAGCAGCTCGTTCCCACGGGGGGGTGCCATTTATGGAAAGTCAACAAAGAGCTGAAAACTGTATAGTTCCTGGCTCCCATTTGTAGAGGAGGTTGAGAAGGTTTAGCCCCCTCAGTGAGTTTGAGGATCTCGGACTGGGACTAGATACCCCAGTGACTAGGAGGATCCCCCTGGGCCCATCACAGAACAAGGGCTGGGCCCTGACAGTGAGCCAAATAACCATGGCTTTTTGACCATGGGAAATTTGGTGTCAAAGGCTTGGATGATATCTGAAGAATACATCAGCTTTTTGTTTGCTTTATTGGGTGGTATTTTCAATTTACTTCATTTGGAACACTTTGTTAAAACTGATTTATACCCTACATAACATGCATGGTTACATTGCCACACTTTGGTGCTTTCCAATTCACATAGAATCATCAAAATTGGTTGAGTTTTGAGCAAGAAATGAGATGAAAGATAAAGTGCAAATTTTTGAATTTCAGAGTTTTCCTCATATTTTGTAAATAGCAATAAACAAATAAGGTGCTGATTTTAGTAAACACAAAAGGTATATGAGCTCTATGAGCCCCCTGAGTTCATAGAGTTCATAGAGCTCATAGAGCTTTCAGAGCAATGACAATGGCCATTTTACACACATATATATCCATATTATCTTTGCACTACTGGTGCCAAAATAACTAAGCAGATTTCATGGAGATATGAAGACCATCCATGATTTAAAAACAAAAAGCTCTATGAGCTCTATGAGCTCACTGAGCTCATAGAGCTCATAGAGTGTTTCAAGTAATGATGCTGGCCATTTAATATGCATTTCCAAAAATGTATATACATATTATCTTTGCACTTCTGCATCCTTAGGAGAATAAAATCATTCAAACATTTAATTTTCTCCACCCAATGTGTAGAGGGTGCACAGCAAAAAGACTCAATTTGCTCACAGAGCTCTGAGAGCTCTGAGAGCTCCAAGAGCTCCCTACCAAGTTTGCTGATGTCTTATGGGTAACTTCCCTCGTTTTCTCGTTAGCGAGTGCCATCAACAGTCAAATGGCATATCACTGGCAGCAAGTCGTCTCTGCAGACTCACTGTTGTTTTCAAGAACTTTGATGGATTTTTTTTCCAATAGATCTGCTATGTATCGTTCACCAGATGCTTTTGTCCCTTGGTGGGTCTCCGTCTGGATCGTTCAAACGCCACTACTCTTTCTTGTCATTTCTATGATTGCATTCTCCACTGGTTTGGTATGCTTCACCTTTGCCAACTTCAGCTCTACCCCTTTCATCCCTATTGCGATCGCAGTGTGTACATCAATCTCGTCTGTTGCTCTTCTCGCTGTGGGCCTTTGGTTTGCAGGAGAACGTCATGCTTTCGGCGTATCAAAAGGCAAGAAGGTCAGCACCTAAAGACCATCAGAGAGAGTTTTTTTTTTTTGTTAATCGAGGACCTAGTGGCTTAGCGAAATGTTAAAAGAGGCGCGGGTTTATCATTATATCGCCATCCCCTGCAGATGGACCAAGCATGCGCTGCTAAGCGTCATTGCTCTCTTACGACGGCTGCGAAGGCGGGGCACAGATTCACTGTCGGTTGATTCGGATTCGGTCGTGCAGGAAATTGGTAGCGATATTGAGTCGGGCACCTCTATGACCCCGTACACTGGGACGTCAGCACAAGGCTCTATTGGATCTCGCCTTTCTGTTGTCCCATTGTCGCACACACCATCACTCGTTAAGAAAGTAACGCACCTTGATTCTGACGTTCAAGCAGAGTCCCAAAATCTAGCCCCTGGAGTCTCAAACGGGTCTTTGCAATCAGTGATTGACCCTACATTTCCAGAAGAGTCACTTCAGCCCAAGGCGAAAAAGGAGTCAACAAATATGTTCTCATCGGCTCTACAAGTCACAACCCCGATGCCACCCGCCCGCAAAGGAAAACTTAAGGAGGTGGCCAGTAAGGTTTTGAAAATTAAACGTGTCCTTTCTATCCTCCGTCCCAGTTTTGCTCCATTACCGAGTCCTACCTCAAATGACCTGGAAGCTGGGCTGCTCAATTTGGATATCCCGCGCAATCCTGTTGTACTGCCTTCACAAATGAAGAAATCGAGGCGGCTAACTGCCATACTTTCCGTGATCACCTCTCTCAAGCCCATCCATGAGCTGCCTTTGCAACCCGCAACCATCAAGCACTTGAAATTCAGTCCCGATGGGGAATATCGTGCGTATACAGGCTTTACATCTACCTCTTGTAACTATGCCCTCATCATGTCATATTATATTAATCGCAGTCGCCACGTCTTCTGGTGCACAAACCGTGGTCATCTGGAAGCTGGAAGATGAGATCTCAATCCACCATAAACTCATTCACCAGGAAAACCGGGTTGCTCATGTGGCATGGTCACCCGATGGGGAATATATGCTCACAAGGTTGACACGCTGTGTATATGTATGGTTACCGAAGGTAGACTGACAATCCAGCTGGGCAGCGTTTTCGTTACTAATCGGCTTGGATCCAGGATGGGTTAGTCTTTAAGACAATAGACCGAGGTCAAACTATTCAGTGGGTGGCATGGATGCCTAACAGTGTTGAATTCGTCACAGTGGAGGGGAAGCTTATACGAAGGCTTGTGGGTTTACCTCCCCACACTGTCGGAAATGGGATGATAAAATGGAATTTTACTGGTCCATCAACGGAAACGTCTTAGGGAAATTTGAGCCAAGCTCACTTTTACCTCAACAAGTTGTCGTTGTTCCGGATGAAGAAAGGTGCAGTTTCTTGGCATCACTCGCTTTCTTTCGTTAAACCCTTTGAGCAGGCTTCTTGTTGTAACGACTCTGGAAGTCACTCACGAAGGACGGAAGCCATCAAAATCTCGCGTTCAAAAAAGGATTCTTTGTGGGTGCTTTGTTCTGGGATCGAAAAATACCTAATGTCGTACTGTGCATTCTCTGCTGCAGTATACAATATGCGGACCGGAGAAATTGAGCAGTAAGGGTTAATTGTTGTCACCTCGAATGCATATTTAATGACCACGCGTCCCAGCAAAGTCCCCATTCTCAATGATGTTCGCCACCTAGTGATTTCTCGTTCCGGTTCCCTTGTCCTGGTTAGCTATCATCGTAAGGCGAGTGGAGGAACACTTCACAGGGAAGAATAGAGGCCTCAACGGTACCAACTTACAGGCCGACCCTCAACTTTTCAGACTTAACGTCTTCCGTGATGATCGCGCACATCTTTCCCTCGTTCATACTTACCACACTCATGACGAGATGGATGCTGGTGGTTCATGCCAGCTCGGCCGCGTACGTACGGAAGATGAAGGTTTAGACTGGCATGTGGTTGTATGTGCGAGGAAAGGTAAGGGCTTTCTTTCCCTCTCAGACTAATGGGGTTCAAGTCTGGTGTCCTGAAGGTGGGGATATCCTCTTCTGGGATCGTGAAACATCGAAACTTCTACATTCGATTCCGGCTAAAAACCCAGCACCAGAATTCAATACAATCGCATGGAATTGTGGGAGTAGCAACCGACCAATGTTCGCAACCGCCTCCCGAGATCGTGCCGTCCATATTTGGGCCGTGCCCAAAAATGCGGGGCAAGGACTGGAGCTTAACCTTTTTCCTTTATCATCTCCACCCAACCAACAGACCTCCCCTTTGATTTCAACCTCGATACCAGACAATGGTCCTCCGGCATCGACGGCGGAGCCTAGTCCTGTGAGTTATGACCCGGGACTTGGGGCCGGGAGCTCAAAAGTACACTTTGACGCAAGGACCTCACCTCGTTCTGATGATAAAATTCTCGATATCTTCTAGTCTAAGCAATGAATGAAACCCTTCTATCAGATGTGCAGAAACATTCTGGTTTGATACTATGTAAACGACTTCGGTTTCGGTGTTCTCGTGTAACCACTGTCAGTGGGCCTTCTCTCCAAGTTGTTTGCGGGACTGTGGAGTAACAATTAAGTTCTATGAACTCGCCAAATCCTTCCATCCCTGACACTTCTTTGTGCCTCTTTGGTTGATGTTTGTTCTTATATTATACCGAACTAGCAGAATTGCATCTTGAATGAATCTTCCAGTGCTCCACCAGTGTCACGTCTGCACCATATATTCATGTCACTTGGTGTGGAGTGTGACGGTCTTGATGTCGAGGTGGCAAACGGGTGCATTGTTGGATACCTAATCAAGGTGTGCTTTTATCTTCACCCTTTCAAACTCGCCGCATAGATTCTTAAGCTTATTAACAAACTTGATGCTCCACAATCTACTCTTCAAAACACGGCATGTTCATGGTTATAGTGTTGTGGTCTTTCGCCAAAGCGATCATGGGCTAGAGGGTAAGGTGCTAGTGGATGCAACCAGTGTCGAAGACGGGGATGTCGCCGGTGGGGTGACTTCGGATGTCCTTTGGGATGACAAGAAGTGGCTGGGGTCGCCCATCAAACAGTTACGGAGTAGGATGCCTTCAACATTTAGCAATGGTTCAAGCTGTATGAGTTCCAGGTCATTACACGAGAAGCACGAGGAATGTAATACGTGCTTAGTCACTAGAGTCCTTGAGAGTCAAGAGGGCTACGAGATCAGCTAGCTCCCTTTCTACGCTAGTCTTCGTGGTAGTAGCAAGGATCAGGCTACACAACCTCAGCGATGAAGAGGACAATTCATTGTCATGCGCTACAGATCAGGGGTTTCATGAGAATGTAGTGGTATAACATCATCCAAAGAAGTATTGTCCGCCACCATTGCGATGAGGGGGCTTGGAGTCGTCACGTTGCGACCCCGCAGTGATCGCGTGAAGTTGAAGGCACGATGACGTTGCCAAGGTATTAGGGTGCGTTTCAAGTTGGACAGGCCTTTCACTAGAGGCTAGAAGTCTCTCCGAGAGTCGAATCCCTTGAGGTTCAAAAGCAGCCTGAGGTACTTAAACTCGAACTTGAGCTGCGAGTTTAGAATTCCATGAGCGCAATGTAACTGTGAAATACGGTTTGCTGCAGCCTCTATTTAGGTTTATCCTCATCCCTTCCATCCTGAACTGCCGGGCAGATGGGCAGATGCCGGTGCTTCTTTTGACGAGTTCAGCTTGCGTGCGTTATTTGCGCGCTGGAAGGCAGATGATGTGGAGTCGGAAGTTGCCTGGCTTGTTGCGGCCCTTGACCATCTTCTCTGCTCGTGTTAGGCAGGTGACGCACCAGCCTCTCTTTATGTAACAGGAACAAAGAATGCCCTTCTATTTGGTACTGATTAATCCATGATTCGAGATCACCAGGGACATGTATCCGATCTCTTATCATTGGACGCCAGGCAATCGGGCAATCTATCTGATGTGGTCCTTACTGGCAACGCTGTTTTCAACGTTGAATTTGACCGAATCGGAGTCCAAGTCGCACCTCCCAGCACCCAGCCAGGGTCGCGAGCATTTTTCCAACACCCTACCCAAGGGTGAGCAGATTTTTGAAGTGCAAGGCAGAACATTCGCTGTGAGCTCCGCACACCATTCTTTACCCGATGATCTGAACTGGTTCTTTCAAAATAAGATACCAAAAGCAATTTTGGCCCGTAACTGCATCCTCATCGAGGGAACAGATGTAGAAGCTGAATCGGATGATATGACGACTTATACACGGCTAGATGACTCGGCAGATGTCTTCGAGGATTTTGTCAATCTTCTTTACGAGTGCGTTTTGCTTGCCTACCTGTCGTTGTTGAATCATTTGAGGCTCATCGCACCGTAAACAAGTCCATTCAATTCTCCCCTTTTCCCCACTCAGGGAACCCAAGTCCAACTCAAACCGGTCCTCCACATTCTCCAAATCGCATACAAATATCATGCCAAAGATATCGAGAAACGCGCTTCGGCTATTGCTGAGGAACTGACCCAGCCAAGAAATCTCCCATCCCACTTGGGAATATCGCTCACGTGCATCGACATCTTCCGGATTGCGATCAACGTCAAACGGATAAACATCGCAGAGAATGCATGGAAGGTGATGGTGACTAGGTTCCTGAGTGGTGAACTTGATTCCCGATGCTTGCTTGATGAAGCTATGGGTCAGCCACGATTCTTGGGGTCGGCGTATTACATCGTCATGCTCGGAGGACCACATAAATGGCGCGAAGATCCAAAACTCAGTATAGATGAAGTTTCTAGACTGAGCCAAGCGTTCCAATACTGCATGGAAGAATGGGACGGTTTTGTGTCGCGCGTCGCTCAAAGTAATCTTGATATTCCGAAGCGTCTGGCACGTCACCGAGTGCCGGCCCACCCATGCCCAGAAGATCGCAATACACATGCCCAGACCCCTGCAGTGAGAGCGCTGGTACGAACACAAACCCGAACACCCAGTCCGAATGCGTGTCTAACCATCATGGACGCTCTTGAGGAAGTTCCAATCGACAGGTACCAGAAGCATTGTGGTCTGCGTGCATGGGATCTACTGGGAAAACTAACGGAGATCAGTCGAGGCTGGCAATACTCGCACATTCCGGATTTGGCGCAGTGCGCCAAAAATACATTGGCTGCCATCGAGGCGGAGATGCCCACATATTTCGCTTTGGATGACGACACATTTATTGATTCACAACTTTCTTTTTCTGCAGAGCGCATCACCTATTACATTGGATTTTGAGTTGATTTCGTTCGAGGTGGAAGCCCGTCTGTCGATTGCTATAATTTGCATTGTGTTGTTCCTATGTCGGTGCCGATACCGCCCAGGGCCCTGCCGTACCATATCAGTAGGAGCATTGGATCAATCTTGGCTCCGAAGATTTTGTGTAGGATTGCTCACTGGTACAACAATTACATAAATAAAGCCCGTCGGACTTCACTGATACAGTAATTTGACTCCCTTATTGGGCACCGACAGGATAGATTGCCAGTCGTTCACGTGAGTTTCGCCGAGGTATATCCGAATTTTTCCTGGTGTCCCAAGGTCACAATGTTGAGAATGCTATACATTCGAACCTACATTTGTTCGATCCCTTATTCCAGGCCTCATGTCAATCCTCCATTTCTCCCAGCTAACGCCTTTACTTGCTGTTGAACGGAGTCTAAATTGAAATCTCAAGAATGGCTGAAGACTCTGAACCGTCAAGCCCAGTCCCACCTCCGACTTTGAGTCCGCCGACGAGTAGACACTTATCATTTAATTTTCTTCGCTCTCAAAACTGGAACGGAGCATTGGAACACTACTCCACATCGTTGCCTCGTGGCTCGCAAACTTTCCTTGTGCAAGGCCGCCGATTCGTCGTAAGCTGATATCAATGTACCTTGGACATCGTACATGTTTTCTTACCATTCACAACTTCATACCAGGTTCCGAAAGCTCTCTTGGCTCAAAATAGCGATGTTTTCCTCGAGATCAGTCCTGATGAAAATTCCAAAGACGTCACGACGCTGGATGATCATTCCGAAGCGTTCGAGGATTTCGTGGATGTTCTGTTCAAGTTTGTCGTGTTTCATTCGATGCCCATCATTGTCTCCTTGTTGATCCCTTTTGTTTCAGTCCTTTCACGTCCTGTTTACTTCGGCCTTCTCCTCCATTGCGGAAAATCCTACACATTCTCCAAATTTCAAACAAGTATTGCTGTGAAGTTATTGAGGGCCTCGCGCGCCCTCTGGCGGTCCGCATGACGCAGAAGGAGAACATCAGATCGCACATCAACTCTTCGCTCTCAGCATTGAGCATTTTCCGCATCGGAATCAAGGCATCCGAGCCATCGATCTACCGAAATGCATGGGAATTGATTCTTGAATCCTTCAGGGAGCAGAAAATGACGTCCCGCGATCTTATAGATGAGGGGCGGCGTTCTGGCTTGAGAGAATTATTGGCGTCTGCTTTCTACGAGGTCATGATCTTGGGCCGAAAGAAGTGGGACGGAGAGCCGGGTTTGACCTTACAAGAGCGCCAAGCTCTCATAAGGGGTATGCTAAGCTGTACTGAAGATTGGGACGCTTTTGTGTCTCGGTTGGCGTCGGGGAACCTCGACGTCCCTTACCAGCGAAGCCCCGCCATTTTTTCTCTGGGTATGATGCCTGAAAACGTCCCCCCCAAAACCCCCGTCCGCCATTGTGACTATCATGACCGACACCATTATAACGCCGAACTTGCGACAATTTCCCAGATCAATGCCTCCTATGGAGTCCCTACATACGACGTTATGGGAAGGTTATCGAGGATCAAGCAGGAGGCTCTGGATCATCTTATGAATAGCAATCATCATGATGGCGGGTGGCGTTTTCCGTCTCACACGTGTTCAGAATGCTGGGATGATGTTGTATCTTGCGCAGACGAAACAAAAGCTTTCATAGAGTCGCGTCTGCCTTTCTATTTTCTTGAGGAACAACACCGGCGGAACCCTAGAGAGACTCGTTTCGCAGACGAATTGTCTGATATAGACTCTCTTGATTTTGATGTCAAATTTTGATATCGACCTTATACTTACATAGTATACATTTCTACACCCATTCGTTGAGTTTGCGGGATCGCAGGAGAACTTGTATTCGGACACTGGGTTCTGACGAACGATCCTCGATGGGTGTATATGTTTTGTTGGGCGATGGGAGTATTCACACAAAGCTCGTCAATTTTGCTATCGGAGTTCGAAACTCGTGCGTGTTTGCGTGGGAACGCGTCCGCTAAGGCAGGCAGGACTCCAGCCTTTATGATTTCGTAATATGAGTTTTCCCTTCTAGCACAATGCCTGGTTCGATCTACACACTTCTCACCCTGAATCGCACGTTTTTACTACGGCAGCCTGACATCCCCTAGCTAGTTATAATACATACGGCGAGAGGGCTCTCTCTCTGCTTTCCACAGTGGACCGACCTTGGTCGTAATTGCCTTAATTTGGCTGTGACTTGTTCAATGGACCAGTTTCGCTCCGTCAACACTTCACGGTTGTCGTCGCTTCCCCGCCTTTTGGGGCGTTGGAGCTAGTAGCCCCCATGGTGTATTTGATTAGGCTTCCCGTTCGACGCTTTGTTACCGCCAGTTTCTGACATAATTTGAGTCTGCAGAACGACTAGTTCCCCCTTTCCGTCATCCACTTCATTGGAAAATCCGCAGAACTTATTCGTGAAGTCTCCAGTCGTCATCATTGCTGAAGCAGGGCTCGCTGGATCTCGCGACATCTCACAGCTCGTTCCTTGCGACGGTTACCTTTGCAACGGCTTCGGGCTGATACGGATTCCCCTCCCCAGGCTTCTGTCCGCGTTTCACGAAAGCGATCAAGATCTGTTGGAATACGAGTCACATGATGAAACTGAACCGGAATATCCGGGAATATTCTAGGGGTTACTAGGCGCCTGCGTAAGCGCTGGGCATAGAAGAGCCCGGAATATTGTTGAGAAGTATAAATATGGGCACTGGAGCGCCGTGTGTATTTTAGTTATTACCTTGCTTGCAAGGTCTCTTGCATGTCCACAATTCATGGGAATTCTGCAAATATATTGGTGGGAATTCTGCAAATGTATTGACCGCTTTTCTGCACGTGTCCTTTCCTCCAATCCTCGCGACGGATCTTTCTGGCTCATTTGTCCCGCAAACTCTGCGGCGCAAACTTAGGCCCCAAAGGTGCTGTGCACAGGATCCTCTGACAATATGACATATAATTCGGACCACTTTTACTATATTACCGCTCAGGCGGTAAGGCAAGCCACCTGGCCCCTCTGCAAACAATCGATTGTTATCTTGAGCACTTGTAGCTAAAACTGTTACAACTATGTTAACTCAGACTTCAGACACCCAGTCGGTTCCTGTAAGTACGAGTTTGACTCACTGCGCATTCCTCTTCATTCATTATTCCAATCTCAGTTCGAAACTCACGTGCATCTCTCCAGACGCAATTGTATGCTCTAGAAACCTTTCCTGCATGCAATCCACACGTGTGCGACTCTCAGACGCGCGCCTGTGCTGATTAAGCCGTCCTCACTCGAAATTCACACGCCCGCGCGCACCTAGAAACGCGCGCTTGCACCCACTCCGCTTTCTTCTCTGTGTTCACGGCTCCCCAGGCTCAGACCCACGACTTTTGCACACATCTTCCACATCCCCCACCTGCTTTTTTGGCAACACATGCGATATTTGCGCCTGCGCACGCTGAGAAACTTGTGCCAGCCCCACGCGATATTCACGCGCTGACAGCACTCTACCTGTGTATTTGCCCTCCAACACACTCTCTCGCGCACGGCTGTGGAAACTCGCCATGTACTGGCTTGATGGTAGGGATCTCCCCCCGGATGATTCTGCCTCGGGCGGTGAGGAATACTGGGAGACACCTGAACGCGATGAGGTGATAGAGAAGGCTCGCAATGCGATAGGAGTCCTTGCTGACAATCTCAAGGCTGCTGTTGTTTTCAGTGATCGCACGCGATGGTGGATTTCTGCATGTGAATATATCGACGCTGCCATTGGGATCGTGCATCGCGAGGCTTTGTGGAGTTATAGGGACGAGGGTGTCGGGTATAACACATGTAAGGATGTGTTTGAGTGGCTGGATGCCATTTACGCTGAGTGGACTTCTATTCCTATGGTCCGCTTGTATGAGCTCGCACGCGAGCGCTATCTGAAGTCCCTTCCAACGGATCTCATTGTCCCTCTAGCCTTTGCCACATTTCGCCCATCCCTTTCCCCTCTTCCCCTTGATCTTGTGGCCGACGACGAGCCAGAATCGGATAAGAAAAACAAAGTACTTAGTGGGCTCTTGCCACCACAGGTGGCATCCACCAATCATACGCCAGTGTAAAGTGGGCATGAGACAACATGACACCAGTTAGTTTGATAGGGTATAAGAAGTGCAAAGTGCATTCGTTTAATCGGATAAAGCTAGGGGAATGAAGAGCATTGGCAAAGCTAACTGGTGGCTGGCAATGGTGAATGTAGCGTGCTCATGGCAGACAAAAAGACAAGGGAAAAGAACACCCGTGTGCAGAAAGATATTACCAGTTTGATGGAAAGATCCCCGTTCCGCTAACTTCACATGCAAAAGCCTTATCATAAGCAAGGTCAGGGCTGCACAGCAGCCATTTCTAGTATTTCTTTCTATATTACATCTGGGTTGCGAGTGAACCGCTGAAGCGGGTTACCATATTTGGAACGCCGCGTTTACAAGATCCGCCTCTAATGACTAGGCTGCTTGGGGGGTGGCTAATGGGCAGGTGTCTCATGTACGACCGATAGAGTTGAAGTTTGTGTGAACTGGGGCAATACGGGAGCAATACAGGGGATGACCGTCATAATAAACCTGTCGGTGCCGAATAATCCATGTTTCGGAGATTTCGCGATCACCGGAGACACGTTTCATCAGACTTCTGAGAGTCACTGATGTGGTCCTTCACAACACTATTTTCGAGGCTGAAATCAGCCAGATCGGAGAACGTTCAAGGCGCTCATGCTCGCAAGAATGCTCTACCACACGTTTTTGAAGTACATTTATTGTAAGTGGCGTACACCATTCTTCTCCCAAGACCTGAACTACTTCGACAATAAGATCCACAACATCACATTGCCTTCGAAGAACCGGTATGTATGCTGATTCAGATAGGATTTTGGGTTTTACGACTTGGCAGATGCGTTCGAACATTTCATTGATCATCTTTCTGAGTGCGTTTTGCCTGCTCCCTACATCACTGGATATCACAAACAAGTCCTATCGATTGCCTTATTTCCGTCATGCCCAACTCAATCCAACATCCTCTAAATTGGACTCAAATGTCGTGCCGGACATATTGAGAAGCGCGCATTGACCATTGCCACAGTACTGACGTAACCTAGAAATCTTTCATCCCATCTAGGAACATCCCTTACGTGCATTGATGGCTTTCGGACTGCAATTGGCATCGAACAGTTAGTGGTGGCGGAGAGCGCATGGACAAACATGGCGGGGGAGTTCTTGACTGGAGAGCCTGGCGCTCGACTCCTACTCGATGAAGGGATGAATTCTCGTCGGCCCCGATTTTTGGGATGCGCAATTACGCAGTCATGCTCGAAGGTCCACGAAAATGGCTCAACAATCCGAAGCTCAATGGAGATAAGATTTCTCGAATGGTACAGGCGTTCCACCGCTGTACCGAAGAATGGGACAACTTTGAATTGCGTGTCAGCATGGGCAATCTTAATATTCCGGACCATCTGGTTCGTCATCAAACACCGCTTCAGGGCAATCCACCACTTCCATGAGCCCTGATGATGACTGTGTCGCGGAAAAGCGGTCGTCCACTCCGGATTTCGTTCCCAGCGACCCTGTGCCCAGGTCCGTCATAGATCTCATTGTTGGACACATCGACAATACGATATGGTCTGATAAACATAAACGGGAAGACTGAGGAGAGTCGGTCGAGAGGATAACGGGTGCGGGTGCTGTTGCCACTGCTACCGGCCGATGGACGGTTTCGGCCAACTGGAGGATAGTTTGACACGATGCAACAACGAAACATCAGCATATTGCGCAGTTTGTTCCACAAAGCTGAGTCGATTCGATTCCTCAAACCGTGTATTATGGGTGTCACTCGTGTACTCATGCTTTCTTTGTCTCCATCTTCGCAATTGTAAGTTCGTACAGAACCCAGAGCTAACGATGTCATATACTGTGTTGATGTAGTACGCATCACGTAGGCAGGACTCCAGCCTCTATGACTTCGTGATATTATATAGACGCATCACGTCGACATAGTCCGTTTACCTAGCCGATGCCGTGTCTTGGGCAGACGACAAAAAGAGGCTTTCATCGAGTCGTGCCTGCCATTCTACTTTGGGGAGGAGCAACATCAACACAACCTAAGGGAGCTAGACTCGTTGTGCAGGTGGATGTCAAATATCGACCTTATACAGTTATAATTGCGCAAAAACTCGAACTATGTCGTATCTTATGCTAGTTATGGCAAATGAATTTGGTGGGTATGCTTTGTTGGGTAGTAGGAGCAGCATCCACGCAAAGCTCATATTTGCATGCCCAACTTGCATGCCCTTACACGGTTGCGTCCGCGGGAAATATCCGTTGGCAAGGAGTGGAAGCTCTTCTGTCCCAAGGGACGCGACTGTCTCAGAGAGGAAACAACCATCTAAGTTTTTCCTTTAGCGCAATCCCTGGTTTGATCTGCACCCTTCTAGCCTGAACCGCGCGCTTTCGGTTACAGCGTTAGGATACCGCAATTCGCGTGGCGTCAGCTGCATCCCTGCATGTCTAAGGCACTCGGTACTTCTCTGCCACGAAGGGCACCACCGTGTTGTACGACCCCAGCTTTTTGAGACATCCTAGATATGGTGGTTCCTTTGGTGCATTTGATCGGACACAAACTTCAGAGTGTTCCCTTCCTCCGTATCGAATGCACTGTTATTGGAAAATCCGGAGGACTTGGTCTTGTATTATCAAACGCTGAATATCGTTCGACACCTCTGGGGCAACGAGCTCATCAGGGCCCAAATCCCATACCACGTATAAGACCTAGCCTTGCTCATACCCATTCCTCACTGTCATGGAAAAATGGCAGTACTCGAGCAGTATGGCCCTATGTGGAAACTACACCTGCCATGAGGCCCCGCGTCGGGCCTTTCTCAGAGCCGTCCATATCTTGTGTTACGGAATCAGGATTCCCGTTGGCTGATAGATACCTCTTAAATTACAAGGAACGGCGAGATCCTACAACCCAGTACTCCGAGTCTCACTCCTGCCACTATCGGTATCGATTTTCCTTCCACCCCCTGGCCTGCTTCCACATAGTCTCAACAACAAGACCCGCTTAGCACACATCTGAGACTTTCCGGGGATGAATGCCATGCATTGAGTCTACTACACGCAGAAACGAGGCTTCCGCATAGACGTAATCATCATTACCTCTGCGAAAACCCATTCTCTCACCAATAACGTCCGACCCTCCTAATGTCGAACAGGATGCATGGTATTTGCCTGTCCTCTGCTGCATGGTTGCTGGTCTAATGTTTCAGATAATGTTTTATATAGGCTGCGCTCTTCCGAGGTGTCTCTCCCTTTTTGTGAACGACCGTCTTCGTAGATCCACCTAGACTATATACTCAAGGACGATTCACCAACTGAGCCGCAGCAGCAATGTGACAACGTTCTTATTCTGTCTTCG